ATACAAAGTAGAGAAAAGTTATTAAAAAACACACTAAACAAAACAAATCCAAGGATTATTGTGTCAGTCTACAAGGTTACAAGACATTCTCATACCAACCGAAGAGATCCACTTCCAAGAATATAGACGAATAGAATCAAGCAATTTCAACCGATCCACAACGTCTTGTTTAAAGACCACACAGTTCCGATGCAATCAAATGGACCAGATGACTGCAACCCAAATAATAACAAAGTATTGGGATCGCCTTTTACTCCTCCCTTGGTCACACCAAACAAGAAAAAAGGACACCAAAGAAAAAGGCATAACAAAATTAACACCAAGCCAGCAAAAAACATCCATCCACGTACTATATGCCACCGGGCAGAAAACAAAAAGATGCATCAGATCTTCAACAAATAAATCACACATAGGACACAAAACAGAATCCAATTGCACACCACGCCCCTGCATAAGCAACCTACAGTGAACAGAATCCAAGAAAAACTGCCAAGAAAATACCAAGCATTTGATAGGTACTTTACCTTTCCACAGTCTGTACAACACCTCCTGAAGATTAACATCAAGAGTCGAAATATTAACCAAAAGAGTCAACAACCAACAATAAGCAGACTTAACAGAATATACCCCTGAAGCATCAGCCAACCAACACCAGTGATCCTTCAGGTGAGGACGCAACACAAATCCATCCAGAATTTCCATCAAACTCGCTACCAATGGCAACTCAAATGAGAAGGGAAGGTGGCGCCAAAGAATGCCCCAAACCCAATTATCTCCAGACCAATGACCAATCTGCGCTACCATCGAAGAGCGATCGAGAGCAAATGAATATAATCTGGGAAAGACCTCTTTTAGCCTAAAGCCACACAACCACCTATCCTCCCAAAATCTCGTCGAAGTACCATCCTCCATAGCCCGTAATATCTTCTCATTAACCCATTGTCCTCCTAACTGTAAAGTAGATACAAAATCCCGCCACCAACTAGAAGCACGTCGATCCACCAAACACACATTCAACCATGACGGGGTCAGACCATATCGCGCCTGAAGAACCTGCGCCCACAAAACCCCCGGATATGATAAGCAACGCCAGATCCATTTACCAAGTAAAGCGTAATTAAATAACTTCACATCCTTAATTCCAAGCCCACCCACTCCTTTCGGTCGACACACCAACTCCCATCGGACCCAAGGGATCTTAGACAGATCCTTAACCCCATTCCACAAAAAGTTCCTTTGAATAGAGATAATATCCTTCACCACAGACTTAGGGACTTTGAAAAAGGAGAGGAAGTGGATAGGAATAGAATTTAGCACCGAGTTAATAAGGGTGACACGACCACCAATTGAAACATACATGTACTTCCAAGATGAAAGCCGAAGTCGCATACTATCCTGCCAAGTAGCTCGCAATCTAGGATTCGCTCCAAGGGGAAGCCCCAAATATTTCACCGGCAGTTGGCCCCTACGACAAAGAAGAAAGTTTGCTGCAAGCTCCACAAAGTCATCGTCAGTATTCACTCCCACCACACAACTTTTATGGAAATTAATAGACATGCCTGATATAAGTTCAAACCCTCTTAACAACGCCTTAACTGTCCACAAGTTACATGCAGAAGCTTCCCCAATAATCAAAGTATCATCTGCAAACTGCAGGAGAGACACCACAGACCCCATCACCCCAACCTGCAAACCAGTAAACAAACCCCCCTCTAGCGCCCTATCCATCATCAACCGCAGTCCTTCAGCTGCAATTAAGAATAAGAATGGGGCCAACGGGTCCCCCTGTTTCAAGCTCCTCCCAATACTAACCTCTGAGGTAGGACTACCATTCACCAGCGCTGACAAGCTACCTCAACAAACACACCCCTCCATCCATCTAACCCACCTCTCATCCAAAACCAAAACCACGCAACATATATAACAAATAGTCTCATTCAATCGAGTCATATGCCTTCTCATAGTCAATTTTAAGCACAAAGATACTCTTTTTATAAAGTTTTGCAAAATCAATCGCCTCATTTGCAATAAAAAAACTATTAAGCATGCTACGACCTGGAACAAAAGCCGACTGACGGTGCGAAATAATCGAAGGGAGCACACCACGCAATCGATTCGCCAACACCTTTGATAATATTTTGTACATGCATCAAAGAAGAGAAATTGGCTGAAAATCAGACATGTGTTGAGGACAAGAGACTTTAGGAACCAACGTCACAAAATAAGACAATAGGGTCTTCGGAAGCGTAAGATTATTATAAAAGTCAGTCAAAACTTGCAACACCTCAGTAGCATCAACCGCCAGAATTTCTTAACAAAGGCAAAATTAAACCCATCCAGGCCCGGACTTTTATCTCCATCACACTCTGCCAACATAACACTTACTTCCTCCTCTGAAAATGGAGCCACAAGTGTCAAATTCTGTTGAGAATAAATGTCAAATACACCCATAAAATTCAGCCTAGGCTTATGCTACAACCTGCCTGAAAAGTGATCAGAGAAATAATCCACCACCACCCCTCGAATACCCTGAACATCCTCAATCGACCTCTCACCAATAGACAAAGCATATATTTGGTTGCAGCGTCGTCGCCCCCGGAGACAAGCATGAAAGAACTTTGAATTCAAGTCACCATACTTAGCCCAACGCACCCTCGCCTTCTGGGCAATCAAACATTGTTTCCTCCTTCGTGCACTCCAAATCTCAGACAAGACCTCCTTTTGCCGTAGTAACTCCACCAAACTTAGATCTTGCACCTCATTATTATCATCTAGGGCCTGCAACTCAACAGTAAGAGAAGAAATAGTCTTGTCAAGGTTACCGAATACCTCACCATTTCACTTCCTCAATACCTATTTAACATTACCCATACGGACCCAAACACTATGAGCTGCCCAAGATTTTTCAACAACACCATCCCAAGCCTGACAAACCACTGACTCCAATCCAGGATGATCAAGCCAACAATTGTTAAATCGGAACGGCTTCGGACCCCAATTAAGCGCTCTATATTTTAACACAAGCGGATAATGGTCAGACACGTTCCGAAGGAGGACAGATACATAACACTCACCTAGAGTTGATTGTGTACAACCACTTATACACTTATAAATATATCTTTATTCTATACGTATTTTCATTTTGTTCACTGGTCCTTTAGTTTGCAGAATGTATGATTTGATATGGAGAATAAAGATTGTCATATCCTTTATTGGGAACCTATTGATATGCTCATTTGTACACTCCATTAGAAAAATATAATTTTGTTCGATAAACATAATTTTTTAAATAATCTAATTTTAGAAAATATATACTTAAATTGTTTTAGTTTTATATTTTCTATATGTTAAGTCATATTTTTTATTATATTTCCTCGTTTTATTCCCTAAATCTTATGAGTTTGAATTTTTTAAACTTACGGTTCTTTCAACACTAGTTAATATTTTATAGCGATTTATATAATGATTTTCCTTTAGTTTTAGTAATTATTAGATACAAAATTATGTTGAGATTCGTGTTGGAGATATAGAACCGAGAATAAAAATCTTATTCTTTAAAGATGAATCTTAAAACATAATACAAATACAATGAACAAGTATTTAAATTTATATTACATTAAAAGAAAAAAGTACATATTTTTTATCCCATGATATTTTTATCTTTTAAATTTGATAATTTGATCTCCGAATTTTAGAAATATATAATTTTAATTTTCTATATTTAAATTTAAATTTTAATTATCATTTTTCATAAGAAAACTGATAAAAATAATTAATGACTAGTTTGATTTTTTAAATATTTAAAATAATTTTCAATATTAATTTTGAAAAACCATTTCTAGAGTAGAAGAAAAAAATATTTTATAAATTTGTTTTAAAAATTATGTTAGACAAAAACGAATGGTATTTATAATAATAAAAAGTTATGAAAAACCATTTAAATAATTCCATAACAAAAAATAATAATATAAGGTAACTATAAATGAAAATTTAAATATCATTAACGAAAATATTTTTTTTTCAAAACTGAAAAATAAAACATTTTTTAAAAATTAATCATGTTTATAATCTTTAAAAAAAGTTTTAAAGATACTAGAAAATAATTATAAATATGATTTTAATAATTTTTTATATTTACATTTGGTATTTAATATTTTTATTATTATAATGTTGATTTAAAATTAAATTTATTTATTTTAATTTATAAAGGCTAATTTATTACATTTTTAAAAATATAAAAATTAAAACTATTTTTTGAAAAAAAAAATATAAAGACAGAAATATAGGTAACAGCAAAGGTGTTTTATTGCTAGTTTGTGAGAAGGGAGAGTAGCGGGCTAGAAGAGCCCAGGCCCAGGCTGAGTAGTCCATCAACACAGTCTTCTTTCTCCGAGTGTTAGGGCATGCAACCAGCAGCGTTGCATAATCCACCTTTCGCTTCTTCCCACTCACTACCGCTCACCAATACACTTCTTCAGTGGTAATTATCGTGCGACTCAGTACATGCTATGCTCCTTTGGAATTTCTTACTCTCTTATTTTGCTGCCATTATTTTCGGTTATGGATTACTACTTACACTGATTGTTTTATGTTAGTTAGGGTAATTGAAATGGTAGCGAAAATGAAATTTACATTTCCGCACTTTGCAATATTACTTTATGTTTGGTTTCATTTCTAGCATTGACATTGATTTTTTTTTTTTTTAATCTTTTTCCCCTTTTATTATTGCCTCTGTTTGATGATTTAATACTATATTTCGTTCAATTTAGGTAGCTAGTGGATTTTGAGAATGACTTCCATTTAATCCTAGCACTAGTTGCAGTGAGCTGAATAGTGAATACAAGACCGATGGTAAACTGCGGGGACTTGTGATATCTCTTCATTCTTTTTCCCATTACATCTGATTGATTTGTTGTTTAAGATTTGTTTATCTCAGTATTCATCATCATGCCTATCCTTTTGCTATGTTTATTCTTTAATTTGGTGATGTTGTTAACTACATGCTTGGTGCAACTTATGAACAGGTTCACATGGCAGCATCTGTAAGGGGGGTTCATAAACTTGTATCCTCCTCCCGGATTGAAAAACTATTATCCCTTTTACGTTTCAAACAGCATCTGCCACCGTGGGTTGAGGCTGTGCGTCATTTTAGCTTTACCGATGATTTCAGTGGCAGAAGAAAACATCCTGCCGGGGAACCTGATGATTTTTTTAGTGAACAGTCAGAGTCAAGTTTTGAAGACAATGGTAGCAACAGAACCCATGAGGCATATAATGTTGAACAGTGTTTGTCAGAATCAATTCCAAGTGGGCTTTTGAGAGGTAGGAAGCCAATTAATCAGCCTCCTCCACGTTTCCGAGAATCTGGTAGAGGTTCCCATTCCTTTCGTCCAAGATTTGATGACAACCGTGGTGGGTCGGATGACAAAACAAATAAAACTTCCAAAATTGATCTTGCATTTCAGGGCATAAATGTGGCAGAAACAAATAGGGATTTTGGCCAATCACAAGACAGTTTCCTTGATAAATTCAAGCTTGGTTTTGATGATAAAACAGTGAATCGGTCTGAGTTTGCAGCAAGCAAGCAATCTGAAGAAGCAAAGAGGTCAAATCCCAATCATCAGGCTCAAGAGTCTGTGCCACAGGATGCTGATGAGATATTCAAGAAGATGAAGGAGACTGGCCTTATCCCCAATGCTGTGGCTATGCTTGATGGTCTATGTAAGGATGGTTTAGTTCAAGAAGCGTTGAAACTTTTTGGTTTGATGCGAGAGAAGGGAACCATTCCAGAGATTGTCATATACACAGCAGTAGTGGAGGGATACACAAAGGCCAACAAGGCTGATGATGCCAAAAGAATTTTCAGGAAAATGCAGAGTAGTGGCATTTCTCCCAATGCTTTCAGTTACACAGTCCTTATACAAGGACTCTACAAGTGTAGCAGATTACAGGATGCTTTTGAATTTTGTGTGGAGATGTTAGAAGCAGGTCATTCTCCAAATGTGAAAACTTTTGTAGGCCTGGTGGACGGTTTCTGCAAGGAAAAGGGGGTTGAAGAAGCTAAGGATGCTATCAAAACATTAACTGATAAGGGCTTTTCCGTTGATGAGAAAGCTGTTAGGAAGTTTTTGGACAAGGAAATACCATTTTCACCCTCTGTTTGGGAAGCCATATTTGGGAAGAAAGCCCCACAGAGACCATTTTAAATATCTTTCATACCATGTAAGCTATTCTCTTAACTCTTCAACTGATTTGTCAGACTGTTTTCTTTCTTTATGTAATATATTGCTAATTTTGGTGTGCGTATTGTAATTTGCTAAAAAGGGTTTTTTGGCAGGTAGCTGTTTACTTCTTGATAATAAGCCTCGTTTTCGTCTTTGAATGTACTTCTCCTAAGTTAATTAGCTTTTGAACTTTGAATGATTTCTTCACTTGATCAGTAACCTGGCATCCCTCGATCTAAAATTTGTCTAGTAGTTGTTAACAGAATCTGCTACAGAGATCTAATGTTTCGCCAGACTAAGTAAAATCTGACTCACATCTAAAATGTATAAATACAAGAACTCTTACTATCAGGTTTCATATCTCACTATATCAATTGTTTAGTCTAGGCTTCTGTCATGGATCATACCTTGAGTTCATGCTGGTCATGCATGACTAACTTAGCTCTAATCCTTGCCTCAATTCCACTGGCCCTAACTCGATTAACTCTTGGTTACCTATTCATTTTGTTTCCGTGAAACTTGATGAACTAGGAAACAAGAAGTAGAAAGTGTGATCTAAAGAGACAGACTTGACAGATTTGTGGTGAATCCAGAAACGCAATTGTGTTTCCTATCTGATGTTGATGGCGATAGTGGGCAGAATCAAACATGCAATGGAAGCAATAGGGATCAGCTCCCGTTCATGTGGCTCCTTGCTTCACTTTTGAAGTCACTTCTCACTAGTTTGTTGCAAACTTCTGGTAGCTCTGGGTAGGATATACTGATACACCATTTCTTCAAATTCCAGACCTTTGTACTAAGGTTCATCAGTTTTTATCTGAACTGTAGAAGTATAGCGAAAGGCTCTTAGTCTGTTTCTGAATACTTGTTACTGATCAAGTCTCTGTTTGATTCCTTGATCTTCATGGGTTGTCCTGTACATCAATTGTAGACTGGAGGCAAGTGAAATTTAATCTCTTCTTACAAGTGAAGCTCGTTAAAAGCAATCTCAATCCAGTCTCTATTATTAATTTAGCACCAAGTAGCTGTGTTTGTTTTATAGTTTTTAAAAACTATTTTATGACACCATTTTAAAAAATTATTATTAGGATGAATGGAAGATGCAAATGAGTAATATAAAATTGTAATTATAAAATAAAAAACATGCATTGGCCAAGAAAACTATCTACGCTTTTTTCCTGGTGCCACATCAATAATTGAAGGATGATTGATTAAAGTTTAAAGTAAAAATGATTTTAAAACATGATCACCCAATTATTGTAGTATAGAAATACTAATAAAATCCAATAAATGGTTACCAGGGAGGATTATACCACCCAAACTTCAATTTTTCTGTATTTAAAATCTTTAAGCACTTTAATTATTTTAGCCTATGAGAAATCAAGACAAGTTGAATCATGGCTTTAGCTAATTTTTCTTTACATTATACATTTTTTTAAAATAAAGTATGATGATAAACATTGTTGTTAGTAATAATAAATACTTTTATATTGATTATAAATACATAAAAGAGAATTTGTTTCTTTGTTTGGAGTCCTCTCCTAGGAAAATATTTTAGGGGCCAATCTTATATAGACAAAAGAGTGAATCACTTCCATTAGATTTAGAGCAACTCAAATGCAAAAACTTACTGTAGGTTCTTAATTCATTTTATCAATGGGAAATAGAATTTAAGAATTTACATTCTTTTTCTCCACTGATATAAGCTCTTTTGAACAATTTCTTTTCAAGATATTAAAATTAATAGCAAACAGATAAATTAATTTTCAAAATAACAAAACAAACTATTAATTGAAGAGTAAAGGTAAAGAAAGTGAGAGAAACTGAAATTGATAGGAACAGCAATACAGAAAAATTAACTTCTCTCTGCCATTATTTTCTCAATTTCTCCCCCTTTTAATCCGCTGCAGACCCATGTGGTGCCTTCATTTCCACATCTCCATTCCTAACTTGCTGCAAAATAATTTGAGTTCATGTCCACAGCAAAAAAAAGGAAACAAAATAATAAATAAAAGAAGCTCTAAACCATAATATGATACTCTAACTTTAGTATGTTATCTTCGTGCTTGCTATTCATATTATATATATATATATATATAATTAATGTTGATAATTTTCGTGTTATTCAACATTTCTGGTCGAGATTTCTCTCTATTTGTTTTACTAGTTTTGTTATGAATCAGAAGAGTTCTATTGCGCACTCATTATAGTTAGGTGTTTCATGATTGAACAAAAAGTTCAACTTTGAAAAAGTTAATGTTAGGTTGATCAAATTCTTATCTTATTTTCTCTTCCGTTACCTTATATTTTCACTAAAACTTTGTATTATTATTATTATTATTATTTTTTTTTTTTTCCTAGTCTTTATTTCAAGTTGAGAATGTCAAATATATGTTCTTAATTTGAGGGAACTCTTAATTACAAGAATAAAAATTTTTTCACAACACATCCCATACTTCCCTTATACAACTCAAAATATTAATATATTATTATTTAATTAATAAAAACGATTGTTTGGGAGATGTCTGGGTTGTGTAATCAACCCATCATTTCTCTAATTATAATCAGTTAATGTAAGTGATTTATGAGTGGTAACCTTTAAACAATCCACCTTTATTAATATAATAATTTATAAAATGATTTAATAAAATTAAAAATAAATTAAAATTATTATTATAATATTAAAAGAGAGTTGTTTATAGGAATTCTATAAATTTGAATTGTAAAAATATCATTTTCCTTGAATTATATTATCTTCATTTTCTAATTATAATAATAAAAGATATTTTCGTGTTATTCAAGAGATTTCTCTTTCATTTCATTTTTAGGTGCAGTTTTGTTAAGAGTCTGCAAAGGAGGTTGTGGAGATCAGAGTCATACAATCTATTGTTTGCATGTCCATTGGAAAACTCTATTACATTGTTGTATTTTCCTCATTTTGTCTAATCAATTATATATTAAAAATATTATTTTATCGCAAAAAGTTGATAATTATAAAAATGGGAAGTACCTTTAAGGGAAAAGTTTTTACTACTTAAAGGTGGTTCAACAGATAGAACTCTTGAAATTAAGAAAAAAATATATGGAAATTTATTCAAATAAAAATATGTTGTGTATTTAACAATTGAATTCATTTTGAATTTGATACAATTTTAATGATATTAATTTTTAATTATTAAAAAACAAAAATGATTTGGGGTGTCCAGATATAATATTAGCAAACAAAGTAGTACTATCTTCTAATATTTGACTAAATGTATAAAAATATATATTTAAAGAGTAGAAAATATCACTTTATTTAGCTTGAATGAAAAATCGTTAATATTTAACTAATTAAAAAGAAAAAACTATATATAATAATAATAATAATAATTATTATTATTATTATTATTATTATTATTAGTAGTAGTAGTAATAGTATAATCACCTATTATTATTACTATGACATAAATGTACCATAAATCAATTATTAATAAGATATAAAATTTTCAAAATGAGTTCATTTTGAAAGGAAAAAAATGGATTTCAACATACAATAATAAATGTAATTAATTATCGTTATAATAATTTAATTATAAAAAAAATTTATTTAAAATGAAAAAAATATCATATAATGTCTAATGAATATAATAATAATAATAATTATTATTATTAATATAATCACGATTATATGACATAAATGTACCATAAATCAATTATTAATAAGATATGAAAATTTCAACATGAGTTTATTTTGAAAGGAAAAAAATGGATTTCAATATTTGTATGTGAAGTAATAATAATAGATGTAATTAATTATCTTTATAATAATTTAATTATTAAGATTTTTTATTTAAAATGAAAAAAATATCATATAATTTCGAATGAATATATATATATATATATATATATATATAATATAAATGAATTATTATTTATCAATTAAGTTAAATAAAAATACATTAATAAAAATCATTTATTTAAAATATTATATAATTTATATGAATTGAAAATATACAAAAATCTAATTTATTAAAAAATAATGAATGACACATTGTTGTATGCAATTTTGTGCTTATCTGACAAAACAAATGGGTGCTCATTTAAAAACAAAACGAAAAAAAAACTTTTAAAACTACAGATTAAATTGTAATTTTGACCTCCATTGATGTCTTATTTATGATTTCGATCTTCTTAATTTTTGTTGCTTTAATTTTAGTTTTCAAGATTATAAAACATTAAAATTGTAGTATAGTAATACATACAATTATTTATTATACTTTAAAATAAAATACGAATATTAAAATTACAGGAAAAAAATAACAAATCAAAATTAGAAAAAAAATTAAAGAAGTACCAAAGTTAAAATTGTAATTTAATAAAATAATAAATAGGAAATGTTTCTTTAAGACAAATTAGATTAAACAAAACTGTGTACATGTATCTGGTCATACCCACCCACCCTAGCTTCTCCGAGTGCCGCCTCCTACTCGTCTCTTCCCAATCCAAACTCCATTTCTGCCATTGACCTACAGAGATGGAACAACCACCCTCTCAAGCACTTCAATCTTTGTCCGTCTCCGATTCTCAGATCCCTCAATCCCCCAATTCCACTCCCAATCCAACTTCTCAGTAAGTTTCTTAGCCGATTTCTCTCTCTCCCCAACTCTCTCTTAGGTTTTCAATTTCACTGTTCCTTTTAAATTTTGCTCCCAGGTTGAGTCCTGAAGAGAAGTTTAAGATTGTGAGGAGCGTTGGAGAAGAGTGCATTCAGGAAGACGAACTCCTTAACCTCCTCACCAAAAAACCCGAACCTGTTTGCTACGATGGCTTCGAACCCTCCGGACGCATGCACATTGCTCAGGTTAGTAAATCTCTATTTTCATACATTCTTTAATATTCATGTTATATACTAATACGAAATGGAAACTAAAACAAAAAATGACGGATTGAGTGTGAGTAGTCGATTACTTGGTTTCTAAGGTGAATGCACCGGAATCTTTGAATGAGGTGTAGTGTGGTGTGGCCTACATAGTTTTTACCTTTTTACTTGTATGTTATTATTTTAGGGTGTCATGAAAACAATCAGTGTCAACAAGCTGACATCTGCCGGTTGCCGTGTCAAAATATGGATTGCTGATTGGTTTGCCAAGCTGAATAATAAGATGGGAGGGGATTTGAAAAAAATTGAGACGGTTGGTCGTTACTTGATTGAGATTTGGAAGGCTGTTGGTATGGATGTTGAGGGAGGGAAAGTTGAGTTTCTGTGGTCTTCGAAGGAGATTAACGCCAGAGCTGATGAGTACTGGCCTCTTGTGTTGGATATAGCTCAGAAGAACAATCTTAAAAGGATTATCAGGTTCCTTTCCCTTATTAAAATTCCTTTCTGTATGTTCTCGTAAAAGGTGGATTTGGACTTGAAATGATTGTGTTTTGATTTTATGAATTATAGGTGTAGTCAAATTATGGGACGAAGTGAGCAGGACGAATTGACTGCTGCTCAGATATTCTATCCATGCATGCAGTGTGCTGACATATTTTTCCTCAAGGTGTGTTTCATTTTTCAATATATATATATATTTGTGCTTGCATCAATTATTTTGTGTGTAATTTATCAGCTTGTCATCAGTACAAAATTATATTACATTTCCTTATAGGATCACAATCGATGTTGTTTGTTTACTGTAGATAACTCTTCTGAATAAACATGTGTGGTTGTTACAATTTTAGCATTAAAAATGGAAATTATGATAGATGTTCATAGCCTTGAATGTATTAATTGTTTCTACTGAGTATCGATGATCTCTTATCTAAACCAAAATTATGCTGTTATTGGGTTTTTCAAATCTTTGAATATTCAGATATTGTGCTGTTTCTTATGTCCTAACCTCTGAAACTAGTTGTCAATTTTCTTAAAAATTATAATTAATAATACATGAATTTTTATTTTTGCAAATAGGCTGACATCTGCCAATTGGGAATGGATCAGCGGAAAGTGAATGTACTTGCTAGGGAGTATTGTGATGACATTAAGAGGAAGAACAAGCCCATTATCTTGTCACACCGTATTCATCGAATTTCCTTTTGAATAGTGATGTTTAAGTGGTATGTCTCTTGCTAACTGTGTTTTGTGGTTGATTGGCAGACATGTTACCTGGTCTGCAGCAAGGGCAAGAAAAGATGTCTAAAAGTGATCCATCATCTTCTGTTTTCATGGAAGACGAGGAGGTAAGTTGTTAACTTTGCCATCAAATTTGTTTCATTATCACAAAGAAGATCAATTGTCATATCTAGTTGCACTCTGTTTTAATTATTATAATGGCTAAGATGTTTTTTTTTGTGTGTGTTTGTTTAACTTTATATTTGGGTATAGGCTGAAGTGAATGTGAAAATAAAAAAGGCTTATTGCCCGCCAAAGGTTGTGGAAGGAAACCCATGCTTGGAGTACATTAAATACCTTATTTTACCGTGGTTTAATGAGTTCACAGTGGAGCGTAGTGCAGATAATGGTGGGAACAAGTAAGTTATGCTTTTTCATCTGCTTGAACTTCACGTGCCCTTAAAGTAGTATTTCTTGGATAATTTTGTTTACTTTTTTTGTCAGTTTTACAAAAAAAAAATTCTTCGGCACAATTGTTTAGTTTATATTTTTCCATGCTTCCATTTAATCTAGGACATTCAAAAGCTATGAGGAGCTTATTGCAGACTATGAAAGTGGAGAGTTACATCCTGCTGACCTTAAACCAGCACTGTCAAAGTCATTGAATAAAATTCTGGAGGTGATGATTTCTGATTATGTTAATGTTGATGTGTCGTACTTTTAACTTCCTATTTCTAAAGGCCCAATTTCCAGTATGTATCTAGGTTGTAGTATTCTTACAATGCATTCGAACAGTGATATAGAAGGGTTTGGTACATATGTACTGAGTCTATTGCTCTTCATAATCCTATAATCATATCGATTAGTTTAAGATTTGGGTTTGAAATTTTAACAAGGTCTCAATCTGCAAGTGTCAGTGTGGTGGTTAAAATATTTCAATTTGTTTAATCCATCAGCTTCTCCAAGTAAATTATGACTTTAATATCTGTTTAATTCATCGTTCTGCATTTGTATGTACAAAGTACAAATCATAACGTCTTTTTTTTGGCTCAAGTGGCTTCTTACATATGCATTAATTATTAGCCAAGGTATATTCTTGTCTCGATTAAGTTTATGCAGCTTAGTAAAGAGGAATCGAGAATTAGACACCAGAGCTGCTACCCTCATGTTTGGGTTGGCTGTGGATATTATATCCTTAGGGTGCTGATTGCATATTCTCACTATTCATTGTGAGCTTGTACAACGCGAGACTATCGCCATATCTTATATTTTTTGTGAATTCTGGAGTTTTTGTTTTTTTGGTCTTTTCTTCATTTCTAGCATGTGGCATAAGCTCAATGATTGTTATCTCTTGTACTATGCACAGCCTGTAAGAGAACACTTTAGGAAGGACAGCAATGCGAAAGAGCTACTGAAAAGGGTCAAGGTGAGCCTTGTTTTGAATGTAAAGTACATCATTCAATCATTTGGGTGTTACATACACACACTAAACTTGATTTTGATTTGCAGGCTTACAGAGTCACCAAGTAATTTGCTGATTAAAGATTTCAGGCTAATTCTATTCTTTGCCAAGCAGCCATATAATTTTTGTGTTATGAAATTATGTACTTTTGGACTTGTAAAATGTGGCAGAGTTGTTTTCTTTAGAATGAGTAATGTTATTTTTGTTCGAGTATTTTGTTTACTTGAAATATAGATATAATGTGTTAAATTAATATTTATATTTTTCTTATGTACAAAATTGACATAAACTTTTAATTATTCACAATACAATTAAAACCGAGACGCCTAACAAGCAAATAGCGCTATAGCCAATAGCTGGATTATTTTGAAGGACAAGATTTTACTTCTATATTTTCTAACGCACTTCATAAATCAATTTGTCAATACATGACATTAGTTTATTTTCAAATTTTGAAATAATAGTATTGGCAAATATTTATTATACGATTCTGAAAAATATATATATTTTAAATCACAAATGAACAAACACTTGCATTTGTAATAAGTGTTTGGGTGGAGAATTTATAGGGTGTATATTATTTTAATAAAAAAATTGAAATATTTTATGAAAATAAAGATTGTTTGGATAGATAATTTTGAAAGAAAATGAAACGTTAGAAATTTTTTATAGTAATTTGATTATTTAAAATTAGATTATTTTGTTTAAATGTGAGAATTTGTAAGTTTTTAATTTTTTTATAATTTATCTCTGCCTGACTTTGACTAAATTGATTAACTCATCTTAACTAATTCAATTTGTTTTAATTATATTTATCTCAATATGTCATTTTCATATTGGTTTGGTTCAAATATTCTCATTTTAGTTTCACTCAATTTGTAATGTTTTTAATTTAATTTATCTTATTTTGAATTGGTTTATCTTATCATAATACACATAACTTGATTTTACCTTTTTGTTTTAATCTAATATAGCCTAACCCGTCGATTTGTTTTAACCCAACCTAACTTGACCTGACTTTCTTGATCTTATTTAACTCTTTAGACTCAAGCTAACTATCCAAACCTAACATATTTCGTCTCAACTTCAATACAACTCATTTTAATTTGATAGTTTACGTCATATCTCATCTTGATTAGTCCGTCTTGTCTTATTCTGATCGACTCAACTTATTTTAATCTGATTGACCTAACTCATACATGAAAGTGATTCAAATTTAATTTATTTAAATTTTATAAAAATTATAATATTTTCATAAAACCAATTAGCAATATGTGGAGTAGCCTAACATGAAGCTGAGTGTTAGACTTTGGCTCCGATACCATGTTAAGGTTTCAATATAAAACCAATTGATAATATGTAGAGGAACCTAACATATATTTAAACCATACTAAATGACATGAGGTAGGCTATATGAGACTTTCAATATAACCAAATAGAATATTAGAATAAAAATAACGAATCCAATGTAAAATATGTAGTGTAATATTATTCACAAGTAGATAAATTATTTTTTAAACAAAATTAAGATATTATTTATATTTTATTTAAAAATAAACACAATTATGTATTTTTTAAATAAAAATAATAATCATAAATTTAAATTAAAATATTTTTTATGGAAATTACTTTAGAATGTTAATTTTCAATTCGAGTGTTTTTTTCAACTAGTAATTTTAGAATATTATTTTAGCTATAAAGATGTTTTAAATTATAAAATTGAAATTGAAATTTGGGCACGGGGTGGGGGAAATCAGTAAATCTCAAAAGAAAAAAATAAAAAAATAAAAATTTAATTTATTAAGTATAAAAATAAATGTTAAACAAAGGATAACAAGAAATAAAATTTAATTAAAATGTAATGATAATATGAAAATTTTATGCTGTTGTTTAATTCTAATTCAATTTTATCATAGACGGTAAAATTATTAATTTTTATTATATTGAGTTGAATAAATCTAAAATTACTCTTAATTAATTAATAGCGGAAGAAACTAGTATATGCAACATTTTTTTATAATAACTATCTATGGTAAAACTTTTTCTAATAATGATCTACGGTTATATTAATAATTTTACAATAATTATAGTTAAAGCCATATACAAAATTATTCTTGATTAAGTAACAGTGGAAAAAACTAGTATATGCATAACTTTTGTACTAAATAATTCTACATGAGCAAAGTTTTTATTTGCTTTTTCTTCAAACCTCACTAAATTCAACAATTTAAAAATTATCTTTTTTAGTCTTAACAAAACAAAAATAATAAGTTTCTGCATAAAAACTCCCAAAAAATAAATATATTTTATACAAAAAGTTGTTTTATAAACAAATATTGAGTGCACATGACACGCCAAATTAATTAATTATATATAAAATATTAAAAAAAATACAATGAGAGAATGGAATATGGAGAAATATAACGAAAATTCAAATTTATCAAAATAAAAAAGAATTGTGTCAACTAAAATAGATATTATAATAAATTTAAAAGAATTTTCATTAAAAGATTATATTTTTAAGCATGTTTGATGTTAAGTTTTGTTCTTTTTATTATTTCTGTATTATTCTCTTTCAATTCCAACACCTGCCTCATTATATTTGCATAAAAAAAAATAGAATTAGGTAAAATAATTACTAAAATAATGATATTATTCATTGTATTGTGGTGGGTAGTTTTGTAACAACCAAAGTTCCAAATAAAGTAAACATTATATCTACAAATTTCATTTCGAAACCTATATATTAAATTTCTTATGACATATACCAAGTCTTATTCCTTGTATTTGTAGATAGGGTTGGATTTGGCTAGAAATATATTGAAAGCATCAACCTATTTGATCACTTCAATTTGAATGAGACATTCTACAATAACTACTAATAAAAGCAAGCAAATATACCTACCATATAAAATTATTGAAAGGCAATGGTAAAAATTACATAAATGAATGAAAAAATAATCAGAAGGGAGAAAAGTCATAATAGAAATATGAAGACAAAATAAAAATCCAGACTTGTTAATTTTTGTTATTTCAAGTTATCCAAACAAAAGAGTTAGGAATAGGTAATGGTTAAGTTACCCATTAAAGTAATTATAGAAGAATATTTGTTTGTTATTGAAGATGTAGAAAGATAAAACTTAAAACATGACTTTAATCTAATAAATTACCTAAATTACATACAGTAGAGAAATAAAAAATGGCATCATGCTATCACTAAGAAAATTTAAATATTCATTTACACATTTGATCTAATGCATAGCTTTGAAAAAAATTAATTATATTATTATTTTAAAAATGTTTAATTATTTTTTAGTTACTAAATTTTGGGATAAATAATTAAAAAAAAGTTATTTTAATCCTTTAAATTTAGTAAAATATGATTTTAGTCCTTAAATACTAAATTGGAAGAATTGAAAATAATTTTAAAAGAATCATTTCAATTCTCCAAATTTTTTGTTTAATGATTAAAATCATTTTTTTTTTCAATTTTAAGGGACTAAAATCATTTTTTTCAATGGTTGGGGGGCAAATGTTGAATTGAGATCGTTGTAGTCCAAATGAACACGTTCGATTCATGTATTTCTGACTTCGAGTAAACTGTGAGCAGGTAGTTTTCTTAATCCCACCTCATTTACCATAATCTCTCTAACCTTCTCTGCATCTCTCCACCTTCCTACAGCAGCATAAAGTTTTGCCAACAAAACGTAATTACCAGTATTTTTAGGCTCAAGCTCAAAAGTCCACCTAGCAGCCACCTCCCCAAGTTCAACATTCTCATGAATCACACAAGCTCCAAGTAGTGCACCCCATACAGCATGATTAGGTGTTACAGGCATAGTTTTAATAAGGTTATAAGCATCATTCAGTCTACCAGCACGTCCAAGAAGATCAATAACACAAGTATAGTGATCAACAAGTGGACTAATTTGATGCTGCTTGAGCATAAATTTGAACAAAGAAAAACCCTCCTCAACCAAACCTGCATGGCTGCAAGCATGCAGAACACAGGTGATGGTGACTTGATTTGGTTTTACTCCAGATTGTACCATCTGATTGAAAAGTTTCACTGCCATTATGCCATGCCCATGTTTTCCATAAGCAGCAATTATTGCACTCCAGATAATAATATCCTTGTCCTTCAGAGGAATTGTATTAAAGATCTGGTGAGCATATCCTAAACTTCCACACTTGGAGTATATATCGACTAGAATACTTGCTACTTCAAGTCTGGAAAGAAATCCAGATTTTACAAGGTAACAATGAATGTTCATTGCTTGTAGGAGATCGGCAAGAATAGCATATGCAGGAAGAAGACTATTGCAGGTTGCATTGTCAGGTTGTACACCTTTCAGTAACATTTGCTTAAAGAGTTCTATTGCCTCTCCTGCAAGCCTATTTTGTATGAACCCAGATAGAAGAGCATTCCATGGGGCTGTTCTCTTCTTAGAGGTTCCCATAAACACTTTATAACTGAGGTTGCCGTGATTACATTTGGCGTACGCGTCAATCAAGGCAGTTTCCACAATAACCTCAGACTCGAAATATTGCCTTATTACCCACGCATGCAGGCACTTGACATGTTTCAAATAAACCAAACTGCCACATGCTGATAGTATAGAAGCTATACTTACTGAATTTGGTTTCACTCCTTCATGCTGCATCATGCGACAGAGCATCAGAGCACTTCTAGCATCCACGTTCAGAATGTATCCATTAATCAAAGTTGTCCATGTTACCACGTCTTTCTCATCCATCTGATTCGCTAGCATGCGTGCTTCTTTCATCTTAGCGCACTTAACATACATGTCCAGCAATGCATTTCTAACTACAAGATTTCCCCAAAACCCTTTCTCCTGAACCAACCTATGAACCTCTCTCCCAAGCTCCACATTTTTCAAAAGCCCACAAGCAGGCAATACTGAAACCACGGTTGCACAATCAGGCTCCACACCCTCATCCACCATTCGATCATAAACCCTCAGAGCATCCTCAGCACAGTTATTCCGAATGTACCCATTAATCATGGTATTCCAGGAAATCACAGTTCGTTCCTGCATTAAGTCAAAAACCAGTTGGGCTGCTTCTTTCTCCCCAGCATTCATATACATTGCCAACAGAGTGTTCTGGACGAATGTGTCAGAATCGAAACCAAACTTGTAGGCCTGCCCATGAACTCCAACGCCCACATCAAATAAAGACAAGTCACCACAAGCCTTGATAACAACAGGGTATGTGAATTTGTCAGGCAATGTTTGACCCGAGTCAAGCATTTCAACGAACAAGTTGAGGGCATCAAGGGGGCGCCCAATTTTGCAATACATCCTCATCATAGCGTTCCAGGAGAACAGACTCGGTTGACGCAACTTATCAAACAGGCGGGATGCATATGTTGCGTGGTGACATAGCGCGTACGTTGTGGCAAGCTTAGAGCAAAGGTCGGAGGAGGAGAATAGACCAAGGGTGAGGATGAGGGCGTGCAGCTTTTTGGTTTCGGAAACGGATTGCGATGCTGAATATTTTCGCAATAGCGTTTCACACTGTGCTGCAGTAGTCACAAACATCATGCTTTTCTTCATTGGACCGATCGTTAATTAGTTTGTGCAAGTTGGTACTCTTAAATTTATAGGTTTCGGTTTATCTGGACCCATATAAATTATTTTGGTCTAAATGAAAATTTTTAATAGGCCATTAAAAAGAAGTGTGAAGAGACCAGAAAATAATCAAAATAACATGGCAACTCTTACCAGTCACCAATTACATGTGAAAAATTTATAGTTTAATGTTTTAAATTTTGGATTGAGGATGGCGTTATATATTTTTTTATGATTAATTTATGTTTTTTAATTGAAAGCCCTTTATATTAACTTTCTGGAAAATAACAATCTTATATATTGGAGTTCAGGAAGTAATTACTTGATGTTTACGAGCAAACTTAGGACCAATCTCTCTGCGCTATTAGGCCCAAATGTGAAACATTTTCCTTTGGGCTGGACTTTCAAGAGTTGATTATCATAGGTTTTGCCATTCTACACTCCATAAAAAAATTTAATTATCTCTAATTTATTCTAGAATTGATTTTGTAAAATATATATTTACATTCTGAAATTCCATCTAAAATAATGAAAGGTGTTGCGATACTATATTACATTATTATCTATCTTAAATTAACTCTTTCATTTCATTATGAAGTCTCCATATTCTCTATTCGAGGAAGAGGACTTGTGATATTATATTATATGACCGAGTAATAAACTTATCAAGTTAACTCTTTTATTGTAAAGTCTCAAATCTCAATGTCCTCGATTTGAGGTTAAGAAGATGAATAATATTATATTATATGACCAACATCTTATATCAGTCAACAACTACAAATATATCAAATAATATACAATGCTTGCCCCACAACCCATCAAGAAGTGCGATTAACTCTCACACACGTCATCTTGATGTAAAGTTAAATAAAAAAAACTTGCAAGCTATAACTTTCTTCCATCCGTTACTGTATCCACACATATTAAAGGTAAATTTTAACTTTTATACATCAATTTTTATATCTATTAAACAAATTGATTATTTTCTTTTATTTTTATTTGTGACTTTAATTACTTTTTGTGCACCATTTTTTTAGTATTCCTAAGTTTGTTTGCACATACTTCATATTCGTCTATTTGTCTTCTTTAATTTTAATTTAATTAAAAAAGTATCAATCCTAATTAACATTATATTCTTCTATTTTTCTTCAAGTATCCATAAAATATTAAGTGTGACTATACGGAGATTGTCTTTTTTTTTTTTTTTAACGTACATGTGCATAAATTATTAAACCAGAACTGCATGCATGGGAGAAAAAACAATGGTTTATCTACTTGGGACGCCCATTTGAATATTAATTATTATTAATCACATTTTGTGATGGGAAGACAAAAAATTCCTTTTTAAAGTGAGTTGGTAACGTCATGATGCATCATTGAAGTGGGTGTAAGCAATTAATAGCAGAAGCAAAAATCTTGAAGACTTTCACCTCACAGCACAAACCTGTGCCATAATGTCGCACATCAACTACAAGTAGTATCGAGAGAGAGAGAGAGGAGCATGGCAGAGACACAGAAGAACACCCCACGTACGCGCATTATATAAAAATGAGGAGGAATCTCACATGCACAAAATGAATAGTGATAGGTAAAAATAAATGAATCGAGGGTCGTATTTTATACTTGTCAAAGCAACAACATATCCTCATGGATCCCCTGTTGTAAAGCATTGGGTGTGCCATTATACCACATAGAAGATAGAAGATCCTCCTCTATTATTCCCCTGATGAAAGATCACATCCTCCACTTCTTCAACAACCCTTTATCTTTTTCCCACCCTTCTCTTTTGGAATTGAAGTGGTGTGAATAATGGACCTCTTTATTTACATGACCCATGATATAAATATATATATATAAACCAGAATCTCTCTTCCTCTTGCACCCCCACCTATCCTCTTTTGTATTCCACAAGCTTCCTTTTTCCTATCTCCACCGTCTCCTTCCCTTCCCTTGAACCTTAATCGCTAAGGCAACATAGAGATAGACGCGTATACACCTACACATACACATCAACACACGAGCTTCACACTCCACCTTTTTATATAAAAACTATTTTATTAAACTATTGCTGATTACCTAGATGATTTTTGGAATCGTGATGAAATCATGTATTGACGCGGAGAGTTTTTTTTTTATCTTCTGTACTTTAATCAATATTGAGCTACCCATTTTGTTTTTTTAATTTACAGATGCTTGATTTTCATATATTCCTTCTCTCTTTTATATATTTTTATTATTTCATGTGGGTCTTATACTGGGTACAAATATAGGTTTAGATTTACATGTTTAGAGCACACACCAAACTAGTTCCACAAGATCATAAGTTAACTTTATAATTTTTTTCCGTGTGTCAATTGTTTTTTTTTTAATATATCAACTAACTCAGTCTTTTATAAATTTATGGTGGAAATTGCTAATTCACAAAATTCAAATCTTATATACTCCAAAAATAAACATATTACTAAAATGTTGGTCATGAAAAGCATAATCTAGTACCGACGAAGTGTGTTGCATGAATTAAAAAAAGGAAGTGTATTTGTGGTATATTAAATCTCCCACGAGTCATGAGCAAATGGACATAAAGACATTTTATTTTATAAGAGAACAAACTTTGTTTTAAAGTGTCCATTAGCAATAACAATAATGATAAGAGGTGATATAAATATGGTTAGAAAATGAAGAGGGAAATTGATACCCGTCTTGTACGGTGGATTGGAACATATTCGTTGCTCTTTCTGGTGTTTATTACCTAACCACGTGCCGTCTTTATAGGCGCCGACTCATCAAACCACCAATGGCATGCATGCATATCCAACGAATGCCGTCCACTGGGGTCCACCATGGACACGTCATCCTCTCGCCTCACTCCGAATACCCCTCTCTCTCTCGCAGAGGAAAAATAAAATTCTAATGGATCCGGATCAGGCTTTACTTTTTTTTTTTTTTTTTAATTTAATTTTCAACAAGATATTCCTACGAGTGTTATAATGACTATTTTATCTAAAATCTATATTTAATCTCTTAATTGGATGTTCAGTGTCCTCTCCTTCGTAGAAGAAGGAAATCTCTTTTGGGAGTGTGAAATCCTGGCCTGTCTTGATTATTACGCATGTGTCGCACTCGGCTTTTGGTTATAGTAGCCACACACAGAATGATTAAATAATTTGATGTAAAAAAGTGAAATTGATTAACCTTTTATCTCAAAAGGTTCAAGGAATTAAAATGTCAAGCAAGGAAAAGGGTAAATAAAGCGGGTTAACAGTATTCCACCGCAGATATTTTTAAAAACTGCCATGAAATTTTTACCAGACAGACATGTATTATTCAATATTTCAATTTATAATTAATCAACTAAAAAAATCTCACGCATTTAAATTTAAACATTCTTACAAATATTCAGATGCGGTAGACTGAAATAAGAAGGAGGACGATACTTTCTTTTTTAGAAGAAAAAAAACTGTTAAATATTATATATATTTTTATATACCTGGATTTAGGATTTGTTTTAATATATTCAAAAATCTTGTATTATAATTTTTTAAGAGAATTGTCATTTACAAGATTCGAACCCAGTACTTTTCTGATAATAACTTATAAATAAATTATATTTATATACAAATAAATATATATCCGTGTAAATATATAAATATTTATATATTTTGATATATTTATATAGTTATATATCTATATGTTGGATGTGAGGGCACACTCGAAAGTGAAAGTGTGTGTCGAGTGAGTTTTCAAAATTTGATGCTAAATTTGTGAGCATGTGTCTTTATATGAGTTTGTAATTTAATGACATAATATAATCTTTATAATTTTATTTATATAATGATATAAAATAAATTTGGGAAACGCGTTATTCGCTCTCAAGCGAAAAATACCAATTTTCGCTCAAGCGAGACTTGAGTGAGTGAATTTCTGTGAGCTTTAACATATTTTCACTCAAGCAAAAGTCAATCACACTTTCACCCTCGATCGAAAAATACCAATATAATTTATTTGTAAATTATTATAAAAAAATTATAGTAATTTAGTGGTTGAGATATTAACTTTCAACCCTAAAATACTGTGTTCAAATGCTATCAGTGACAATTCATTAACTTAAGAGAATTTTTGGTTGAAAAAAAAATATAAATACTTTCGAGAAAATATATACAAATAAATATATATTTACATGGATGTATATTTATTTGTAAATAAATATAATTTATTTGTAAGTTATTATCGAGAAAATTCTAGTAGTTTAATGGTTGGAGTATCAGCCTCTAACTCTAAAGTAAGACTTTTAACGTCTAAGAACCGATGTAGAAACTACGTCGTCTCAGCTATAATCGACATTAAATGACGACGTAGAAAGTATATTTTGTAGTAGTGAATAATAATAGGAAGGTTAAATAAACGAATCATATTCAACGGTTAAGATAGGGATAAAAGTTCTTAAAATTTTAACCATGTTCAACAACATTATTCATGAAAAATAAATAAAAAAATTGTTTTCTAAACATTTTTATAGTTAGAAATCATCTCTTAATTTTTATTTTTCAATTTTTTTCATTTCTTTAATTGGTCAAAAAATTAACTAACTATTTATTTTATTATTATTATCCTTTATGTTGAAAATTTAAAGATAAAAAAACACTTTATTTAAATATTCATCATATCCAAAATTTTAAAATTGTTAAACTTTTTTTTATATAAAAATCTATATTCTAAAATATTGAAAATCTATATATGAAAAATAATATTTATTTATAAATGTGAATTTATATTATTTGTTATGACTGTTGTCTTTTATTACTTGGTGAGACAATATTTTTATACTTGTCAAAAATGTCTGAATTTTTATTTTTTAATATTAAAATATTATATTAAAATAATATTTAATTATAATAATTTAATTGTTTTTAAATTATAAAATGAAATTTAAATAAAAAATATAAATGCTTATACAAATTTAAAATAAATTGGTTTAAAAGTAATATCATATTACAAATTCTATCATAAGCTTATGTTTGGATCTAAGAGTGATTTTGAGAGAGTGAAAAATGTGTGAAAGAAAACAGAAAATACGATTGTTTGATTAAAAGAAAAGAGTAAAACTAAGTAAATAGTTAAATAAATTTATTTATGTTTAATACTTTTTTTATTATTTTAATATAATTTTTTATATTTTTAATTATTAATTAATATGATAATAATAAAATAAAATAAAAATATATTTTTATAGATAATAATTATGTAGTAAATTGTCATCATTCATATTTTATAAACTTCGTTCCAATCATAAATAAAAGACACAGATTAAACTCTCTTCAATTCATAGAGAAATCAATACAATGAGTTAAATTCCACTTCAAAATTTAACTTTATACTATATTAAGAAAAGCAACTTTCATAGCATTTCGAATAAGTAAAGGGACGAAAGTTTACTTCGATTTTATAATTTTTTATATAAAATGTGTGATTTTATTTTATTGCTTCGCCTCTTATCTTTCATAGTTGGAAACAAAATCACATAAGAGAAAATATATTGTTTATAAATAACTGGCCTAACAATCCTCTGGTAAATCCGTAAGGGAGGGATTCAGAAAATTAACAGATAATTAATATTATCTTTGAAAGTTCTCATATTAACCACAATTAAGAATTTTCATTAGAACATATTTCAAACCTTGTGATGATTAATAGTTTGAATATCAAAATAGTAGTTTTTAAAGACATAATATCGATAATAGTTTGAATTCATATGCATGTTAATTTTTAATTTGTTGATATCATTAAAAAAAATACTAAAAACACAAAAAAAAAAACAATATATGATTAATTGACATGATTCAATGTAACAGGAGGAAACAATTTTAGCCGATACGCATTCCCCCACACTTTTCACTGCTTAACTTTACCCAAAACATTTAGTTAGTCAAAAGTGGTCTGATTCGCTAAGATTGGAGGCGTGTTTACCTTAATGGTGGATCCATTTTGACAAATACTCTTCATATATTTGTAACGGCTAATATTTGTAGTTAGGTAGGAACGTAGCAGTGCAAAACTTTCCGCACCCTAACAAAGTAGTTAATGATGGACCTTTACCAACGCTTTTCTTTTCTTTTCTTTTCTTCGGGTATAAATAAAGAATTAAAGATGAGTGGTTCTTGGGGTCCATTTAGAACTTTTGTGGGCCCAAATTATAGAAAGCACGACTTAAGTAGCTGCTTTAAGACTTTAACGCCCACTATTTCACTCTTTTGTCGTTTTACAGTTGAAACATCCTTTGCCATATATAAAGGAAGGACACCGTCTTTTCTAGATACGTGGAAATATGCACTCAATTGTCTTTAGTAAATAATGGCTATTTAAAAAAAAAAAAAACAATTACACTTTTAAAATTGAAAAACAGTCTAAAATACGTTTATGTTTTATACCATCGATGCATGAACTATTTATTCAAATAAAACTTTGACTACTAGAAGATCACTGAAACGAACTTTAATTTTAATTAAAAATAGTACTAAAATGCCTAAATTTTGTCGCAAGAAAATTCGAATTAGCTTTGTGCAAGTCCTTGTCTTCAATTTGGTGCATTTGTCTTGATTTTGAAAGGTGAGTGGACGTAACTAATTTTTGGAGACATAATTACAGTTTATTTGGAAATGATGGAAAATTTTCATCCACAAAACACCTCTTGTAAGTACAGCAATCAATGGTCAGAGAGCCTACATAGGATGTAAATGGCTAAACGTGTGTTTTACCTTGTGCATGCAGGTTTGATTGACCTCTCAAGTCAACCAAGAAAAACAAAGAAAAAGGAGAAGACAGGACACAGTGGCTTCACCTTGAAGCCTCAAGGGTCGCGGTGATAAAAAGTTTTAGTTGCAGTTTTTTCTCTCTTTCCTTTTTCATCTACATTACATGTGATTTTTAATTTTTCAAATATACATGATTTAATTTAAGAAAAAATAAAATTGTCTGAAAATATAATTAAAATTATAAAAAAATTATAATATGTGAGCAGAAACAAAATCTGGAATTAGATAAAGGATACCTGACAGATGAATTTTAAATAAAGAGTTTAAACTAAAAAAATTGATATATGATGAGTCCATTATTGGTTGACAAGGGTCAAGCATGGTAGGTCAGGTCACATAATAACTGGTACAGTTCGAGGTAGGTTTCTATATATTTGAAGACATTGGCAGGCATAGATGACATGACCATAAACAAGTAACCAACCCTACCCCTTTACATGCACACACAAGCAAAGACAAAAGACCCACAATCATAACAACCAAAAGCCCCTTCTCCTTCACACACTCCACTTTCAAGCTTCAACAACAAGTCCTCTTCTCCATCATTCATATCACAAAGCACAAGGTCACACCACAACAACTTTTGTTAGTCATCACCAAGCGATGAGAGTTCCCGTTCCATCGTCCCCACAGGCTAATCCTAAACCAACTAATAACGTAGTCCGTACCATTGCCCTTCCCAACCTCAACACCACGGGCCTGTGCTACGAGCCCACCTCCGTCCTCGACCTCTGCCGCAGCCCCAGCCCGGGCTCCGAAAAGCCCATCGACAACACAGTTGTCGTGACCAACTCCCAAGATTGTCTCGACCTGGACGACCATGCGTTACACAATTTGGATTGGGACTCCATCATGAAGGACTTGGGCTTACACGACGACTCAGGTGCTCCCGTTTTGAAGACTATTTCCCACCCTGACAACAACGACAATAACAACCCATGCGACGACTTCACCATCGCACCTTTCGACCACGCGCTTGAATTCACCACTCTCTCCGACATCTACTCCAACCAGAACCTCGGGTTCGATTTTAACCACTTGGTTCACGACTTCAGCCACCACCATCACCACAACAACAACAACGGCTTCGATTTCATCGAAGAGCTCATCCGCGCCGCGGATTGCTTCGACACCAAGCAGTTACACGTGGCGCAAGTGATATTGGAGCGGCTCAACCAACGGCTACGATCCCCCGTGGGAAGACCTCTCCAACGCGCAGCATTTTACTTCAAAGAAGCTCTCCAGTCTCTTCTCTCCGGTTCGAACCGGACGCCGAGAATTTCCTCCCTGGTAGAAATCGTGCACGGCATCAGAACCTTCAAAGCCTTCTCCGGAATCTCACCGATCCCAATGTTCTCGATCTTCACCACCAATCAGGTGGTTCTCGATCACGCTGCGTGCTCCTTCATGCACGTCATCGACTTCGACATCGGCCTCGGGATTCAGTACGCTTCTCTCATGAAGGAGATAGCGGAGAAGGCCACGGACTCGCCGCTTCTCCGAATCACCGCCGTCGTTCCCGAAGAGTACGCCGTCGAGAGCACACTCGTCCGCGACAACCTCGCTCAGTTCGCTCTTGAACTTATGATCCGCGTCCAGGTCGATTTCGTGCCGCTTCGAACCTTCGAGACGCTCTCCTTCAAGGCCGTGAAGCTCGTCGACGGCGAGAGCACAACTGTGCTCCTCTCGCCGGCGATTTTCCGCCACTTCGGAAATTCCACCGCGTTCTTGGCGGAGGTGCGGAGGGTTTCTCCCAGTGTGGTGGTTTTCGTGGATGGCGAGGGATGGGAGGAGACGGCCACGGCGTCAGTGGCGTCGTTCCGGCGCGGCGTTGTGAGCAGTTTGGAGTACTACTCGATGATGCTGGAGTCGCTGGACGCGTCGACGGCAGGGGGAGGAGGGGAGTGGGTGAGGAGAATCGAGATGATGCAGCTACGACCGAGGATTTTGGCGGCTGTGGAGAGTGCGTGGCGGAGAATTCCGCCGTGGAGGGAGGCGTTTTACGGCGCAGGAATGAGGCCGGTTCAGTTGAGCCAGTTCGCGGATTTTCAAGCGGAGTTCTTGTTGGCCAAGTCGCAAATCAGAGGCTTCCACGTGGAAAAACGTCAGAACGAACTGGTACTCTTCTGGCATGACCGGCCCATGGTTGCCACGTCAGCTTGGCGCTTTTAGAAGACAAGAAACTGTTGTTAGGAGAGGGAATTATGAAATATTAAACTACCACTAATTAGCATAGTACTGCTGCAATAATATTGTTACTTATTAGACTTGAATTTCCAAGTGGTATATTATAAAGCAAAATGTAGGTATCTTGGCAAAAGGAAATAGTGGGGAGGGATGAACGTGTATTTATTCTGGACCATTTTCTTATCTTCTAATGTTGGAGGGGGACGTTGTCTTTCTTTGTTGGACTCTTGTTATTCTCATCAACTTTAATGGTTTTTCAATCAAAGAGGGCTCTTGTTCGTAGATTACATGGTTCTTTGACTTCTTTCTATCTTTTATTCCTGGTGGTATGCGTATGGACTCTTTTGCTGCAGTATGAGAAATCAAAGGTTTATATGACCAACCAGCATATTCAATTACGAATCTTTTAGTTCGTCATCTACCTTTTTTCATTTCTTCTTGTGTGAAATATGTTCTCAATGCCAAACTGCTGCCACCGTTTGACGTTACACTATCCATATGTCAATGACTAACAACATTCTCTCTCTGTACATGTATATGCCACTCCAGGTGAAAGCATCTTCAATATATATAGAAAAAGCCAAGGGGTAGGAAACTTGTGCAGCTAGCATAGCAATGCAATTTCATACTTATTAAGTTTTGAGAGAGATAACTTGACTTTTTAAAGCATATTGTTACTTGTAAATTCTGATCATCTTCTGTAACGTAGAAAAGCTTAGTGAACATGAGAGAATGCATTTTACTATGCATGCTTCTTGTTGGTTCTGAAGTGGATTTTTCCCCCTTTGCCAGCTTCCGACGATGGTGTTGATTAATGGGGATGTTAGGAATTTCTAAGCTTTATTAAATAAATTTGATGCGTGGTAAATAAAAATGGTGCATAGACTGAGGTGGGAGTAATCGTTTTGGAGACAACTTGTGCACTTATCCTTCGAGAATCATGAGATTGTTCATGCTGCCGAGTCATCAAATCTCCTAGAACGTGAATAATGTATCCAACTTAAGTTTACTTCAATAATTTTTGTCTATTTTTTCATGGTGTCTTGGGTAATTCCCATGGAAGTATCTACCCAACAACAGTATTATTAACTGGGGTAGATAATAAGACAACTTCGTGAAAAACCTGCTTTATATTTTGGGTTGTTGTGTGAAGTAACTGTCCTCTTTCTAAAGTCATCACCGGAAGTGTCTTAGTATAATATGTTGGAAATTATTTTGAACGATCATTGAATGTGCAAGCCATTGCACAAATTATACTGTGCATCCTATACGAACCTACAAAAACTTCGCAGCAAAACAGAATTCGGAGTTGTGGCAAAAAAATGTTTTCTCCATTGCAACAAAATTCAACGTAGTTCAAAAAACAACAATTACCCTAGCAATATTTAAAGAGTGGTGATATTTTGACAATCGAAACTATACAACCCTTCCAACAACTCACTTTTATTAATATAATAATCTATAAAATGATTGAATAAAAATAAAAATAAAGCAAAACTATTATTATAATATTAAAAGAGAGTTGTTTATAGGAGTTGTATGGATTTGGGTTGTCAAAGTATCATTTTCCATATTTAAAATCATTATACTTTATTATATTATTTTATTTGGTTTGTTTGGATAAAATTCTCTAGGAGAAAAAATTGGAAGAAAAAAATTAGTTTCTTTGTAAGCTTAAATTAATTTATGCATGATTTAAAATAAGTGAGTTTCTATATAAATTAACTCTAATTAATTTTTTTTTAATTTCTTACAAATAAATTAGTCTAAACATCTTTAATTATTATTGTGGAAAATGTAAACAATAATATTATTAAGTCGTTAGTTAAAAAAAGATAGATCAGTTAATCTTTCTCTCTAAAACAATATCAATGTAATGAAATGATAAAAGCTTAATTACAGTCTTCAATAAAATTAACCATTTAAAATACAAATAACCAAATTTTACTTTTATATACAACTGTTTTTGGGCCTTTAAAACTCGTGACGTGAAACATTTTTGGCCGATTATTTGTCCACGTTTATAATTAAAATAAAATTTATTTTATCTTTACATTTATTATTTGTTTTAATTTCAGAAACATGTTTTGGATTGAGTCTTCTAGCAATATATTTTAGATTATCTCTTTCAAAACTTATTTTTAGAACACTAATTTTGAATATATTTTCAGAATACTTGACCTAGAAATGAATTTTAGAACAATTAATTTAAAATATATTTATGCATTAGGTGTTTCAGAAATATATTATAAATTATTTGTTTACTTGTGGTAAAAAAATACGTTAGGAAGTGAATAATCTAGATTTATATATATATTTTCGATCAAAATTTGATAAACATTAGAAAGAGTATTTCATAATAAATATAAAATATTAACGATTTTTAAACTTATGAACTAATCTTCAATGAAGTGAAACGACGGCAAAACGAAAATGAAGGAGTCATGTAAGTGCAAAGGAGACATGGAGATATTGAGGAGCTCAAGACTGAAGAAATTTTTTATGGTTTCAAACCAACAATTTTAGTTATTTTATATGGGTCACGGAGATGAAGAGAGATGGATGAAGAAATTATGGAGGTATTGGAAGAAGAACCAGTTTTTTTATCAGTTGTTGGGCCGGAGCATGTTATTTATCTGGGCTGGTCTCATTTGCGAAAGGTTTTAATTTTTATGTTTTTGAAATGAAGATTCTGAAATATGTCTTAAAATTATTCCTGAAATATTATTCTGTAATAATGAAATGTAATAAATTTTATTATGGAATGTTCTACACTAATAATTCAAAATAATAATAATAAAAAAAACAGATTTTAGATTATGCATCTAACACTATATCCTGAAATCCTATATTTTTCAGAATTTAAAAGATTATTTTTATCATTATATAATAATAATAGAAAAGTGTGTAAAGAAATTAAGGAGTCACATGAAGTAATAATAGTCATTAGTTTATTCATTGATTTTTCCCCACCTCTCTTGAATTTGATTTGGAAATTGTTGGTTTTTTTTTTTTTTTTTCTTGACGGTTAGCACTAAAAACAGGGGCATATAAAATACGACGAATTTACCTAGCATGTCGGAAGCGAAGGGAATGGTGTTTTGGGAACTAGAATGAATCTCCTCGGATCAAACATAACAAGCGAAGTTCGCATCGATCTTCTTCTCTCTTAATTAGTTTTAATCTATTTCTTAATTTCCTTTTCTTTATGTTAGGTTTTGATTCTGTGTCTAACTGCCACCAAATTCTTCATTTCAATTACCTTCTAATATTTATTGCAATTAAAACACATTTTTGTTGGTTGCTTGCGTAAATATATTGATTATTGAAATCATTGGTTATATGTTGCTTATATCATTGATGTTTGATTGTGAACTATTTGGGGCAGGTTGGACTCCGTCTGCTCCTTTGTCCTATTGGTTCCAACGTCGTAATTCGAACAGCATGGTGAGATGTTTCCATTTCGCTCTTAGCAGCTATGATTTGGGAAGGGAGGTTTGTGGTTAGATTCGTTGTTTAACATTTTCTGTTCTTGCAGCTGTACTGTCGGAGTTGCTTTGCCTGTGTACTCTACGTTTAAGGCAATAGAAAGTAAAGATCAGAATGCTCAACAGAGGTGTCTTGTTTATTGGGCGGGTACGGATTTTCTAAACTTTTTTTATTTTCCTTTTTTATCTCCTCTCAGCAACCCGTATACTATACACTAGGATATCGATGAAAAAGAGAAACTATATTCTGAAACTGCTATGGTGAAAAAGAGAAACTATATTCTGAATGCTATGGTGTATCCGGTTTTCTGGTTTTAGGGGAGAACCTACTACATTGCCAATGGCTGGAAGATTTTCTGTTTTTAAGGGAGAAACTATGGTTAGTACATTGCCAATGGCTTGAAAGGTGGAGTATACTATAGACTAGGATTATATTTTGAAATTGCTATGGTGCATCCGTTTTCTGTTTTTAGGGGAGAGTTTACTATGTTACTCCATTGTCAATGACATGAAGATTTTCTATTCTTAGGATAGAACCTTGGTTAGTACATTGCCAATGACTTGAAAGGTAGAGTATACTATACATTAGGACTACATCCCATATATGGCGTATCTGATTTTCTGTTTTTAGGAAGAGCCTACTATGGTTACTACGTTGCCAATGGCTTGAAAGGTGGAGTATACTATACATTAGAACTATATCCCATATATGGTGTATCCGATTTCCTGTTTTTAGGGGAGAACCTACTATGGTTACTATATTGCCAATGGCTTGAAAGTTGGATTGAATGTTAAAAAAATACTATATTGTCAATGACATGAAGATTTTCTATTCTTAGGATAGAACCTTGGTTTGTACATTGCCAATGACTTGAAAGGTGGAGCATATTATATATTAGGACTATATCCCATATATGGTGTATCCGATTTTCTGTTTTTAGGGAAGAACCTACTATGGTTACTATATTGCCAATGGCTTGAAAGGTGGAGTATACTATACATCAGAACTATATCCCATATATGGTGTATCCGACTTCCTGTTTTTAGGGGAGAACCTACTATGGTTACTAAATTGCCAATGGCTTGAACGTTGGATTGAAAGTTAAAAAGATTAAACATATAGATTATTAGAAATGAAAAAAGTGACTAATTCAACCTTACAAAACTAGTTTTTGTATCTCAATTATATGTTACAAGTTTGTCATATCTCTAGTCGATATGGGATATTTAACACATCCTCTCACATGGAATCGAGAGCATATAACTGAGTGTGAGGGGTTATTTGATAGCGGCTATATAATGGATGAAGTAATAGGCCAACAAAATCTCTCTATGATAGGTTTTAATATCATATTTGAAATGGAAAGATGCTTAACTCAAACCCATAAAGACAACTTAAAAGATGAGATTTACACCACAAATACAGGTAATAGAATTTTATTCCCCTTGTTTTTTATGCATGTTTCTGTTCATTGAACCGCTTGTGATTAGAATTGCTAGCATTTGTTCTTGAGCATCTTTTAGAAGAAGAGTGTAGGAACCACATATGGCCCAACCCCACGTACTAATTTATTCATCAGACGATGAAAATTGGATCCTAAAACTGAACTGTGCTCCCAATCCTCAAGTATTACAGCTTTCTACATATGGGCCCAACCCATTGTGCTATTAATAAATCAGAAGATGAAAATTAGATCATAAAACTGAGCTGTGATTCCTACCCTCAATTATTACTGCTTCGTACAGCCAACACAACACATCTTATTCTGATAGGCTGATGACAAGTTACTGATGTTCTGACCAAGTTTTGTTGAAATCAAGTTTCAATGTTGGAATAGAAAGGGGGTTAGGATTGTATCAAGAATTGTAAGCTTAAACTAAAATGCAAAACTGTATGAAACGTGCACAAACACATACTTGTGCATTAAAATTAACATTGATAAGAAACCTAATAGCACAGCACCCTAACAACAGAGTACACAACAGCTAAACAACAACATAGCACACAAAAGTAAGAACTAGAGAAGAAGAAAGAGACACGCGGCTGTAGTGTCCTGTTGGAATGAAGAAGCACAAGGGTGAGTAATGCAGAAACAGCTAACAAAGATGGAGTGGTATGCTGTCAGCTATGAAAGGGAGGAGAACAAGGGTTAGGAAAGGGTTGGATGCAAGGGAAGACAGGGGAGGGGGACCAGAACCCATAGGCAGAGTTAGTCAATTATGTCGTTGACACAGAAATTAGGCACAAAATATGCAGAAGTTGTTTCTTTTTCCATACTGGACTGGATTGCATGACTCAACCTGCTCAATTTACACCAGATGTGTATTTTGCTCCATACGATCCAGTGCCTTAGAGCAATAATCTGGACTGCTCCATGTTCCTGTGGTCCTGCTTGACATGTGACTAGTGGGGGAGGAAGAAACTGATGGACCTAGATAAAGTGAACATAAATCATATTGTATTATATTAATTATGATTTTTTTTTTTTTTTTTTTTTATTTTGCAGCCTATGGTTCGTTCAGCCTTGTTGAAGTGTTCACAGACAAGCTTATTTCTTGGTATAGTTTGATCACATCCTAATCCATCAAGTTGGTTGTTGTATATGCCCCTTTGATTTTCAAAGTTCTAGCTTTATTTTCTTCTCTATACCTTCTTGTTGACAAGATTCAATCTCCCTTTTTTTGGTTATTCTTTTATGGCTTTTAGTATTTGTTTCATCTGAATTATTAGTTATTACAGACTCATAATGAACTAAATCACTTGTAATTTTAATTATTTTCGCAGGTGTCCTATGTACTATCACCTGAAGTTTGCATTTCTTGTCTGGCTTCAACTTCCACCCACCAGTGTGCGTTCCATAGAATTAGATTGACTCTATAATGATGTTTTTGACCCATCTGTGACTTTTTTTTTTTCCTTTTTAAGTGTTCCTATCATAATGTCCCTTGTGCCATTTTCCCTCCTTAGTTTTCAGCTTATTTTTCTTCATATCTTTTTTCTTTTAATTTGGTCATTGTATCTCCATATTTCAAAACAAATCTGCAGTTTTTTATAAGCACGTTACTTTCCTTACCATAGTTGTAAATTTCTTCATTTTCTTCTGCTTTGCATGTGTCGTTTTTTTCTAGGGAAATGAGAGCAGAATGATATGGAAAAAGCTATATGGGCATTTGTTAGGGAGGCAAAAGAGACAGCTAATATATAAAACTATTGAATTGCATTTGAAGTTGGGCAGAAAAGTTTTGACATGAAACTGCATAAATCTAAATGTAAATCTAATCTTGTAAGCTAGGGGCGTGAATTTTGCTACGTGCACAAAGTTCAATTTTTTTTTAAATACCCTTAATGATTATTAAATATAATTGCTGCATTTAGATGAAGATGTGATGTCAGTTTTAGACCACATAAAATTATAATTGCTGCATTTTGGTGAAGTTCTAATTTCACTTTTAGACCGCATATTATTAGTTTGCTCTTGCCATATGTTAGTCGTAAATTGATTCATAGATTTGGATTTTTTGTCTATTGTAATTTCTCGGAGGAATTCCCGTTTTAGGTTATTAGCAATTTTGTTATCCATCATCTTCTTATTTTGTATTTGTATATTGATATTTATATCAGTATATTGCCTTGTTTAATATGTTTTATGGTTGACAATTTGTCTCGTTAATGCCTCTACACTGCTTTTTTATTTTGCTGAATACTACTTGGTTCAAACAGGGAGCAAAGCAATTATATGCGAATCACTTGCGCCCCTTCTTGATGAGGCATCAAGCGCGAGTCGATCAAGTCTTGGATTTTGCATATTGTGAAGTGGTATGTCGAGTACATTGCTTGTTACTTGATTAAGAAGAATACCATATTCAACTCAAATTGTTTGTTTACATTACCGTTCCCAAATATCAAGTTGATTGGTGTCTATCTGATAAAAGCATGTAGAGGGGAACTTTTGCTGACTCCTATTCCAAATATGGCGACAATTTTTCACCTTTTGTGAACAACCGAATTTAACAGTGGATGGAATTTGACTTGTTAAATATGCAGTTCAAACTGGTCAGTTCATACCAAGCAGAGATCAAGTTTGTCAAGAGCATGGTTGGAAAGATTACTGGATCAGGTGAAACATTTTGTTTCTGCCCCTTTGGAATTGCTTCTGCTCATTATCCTTGTATGTTACTAAACTGCAAATTGAATGCAGCGGAACAATTGCTGAGAGGTACTGATGAATCAGATAGATCGCAGCAACATAATTCTGCTGAAGACCCTGACTTACCCTCTGATACTGAACCTGACCAAAACCGTAATCACTGATGGATGCCGTCCCCTGGAGACCGCTTGGACTGCGTGGAATAAGAGAGACTGGACTTCTGCTATTTTTTCTCGAATGATAATTGTTTTTTTATTAGTGTTTTTAAGGTAATCAATATCAGGAATCTTGCAGTTTTCAATTTTTTCTTAAGTTTAGGATAGAAAGTAAGACAATTGCTGCTCAGTGTAACAATTAAAGAATTAATAATGAGTTTAAAAAACAGAATAATATTATTTTAATCTTATTAAAACATTTTGACTGTGATCTTGTGTCAATTCTGTAACAAATGTTTTCCAATACTATAGGGTTTAACCCTAAACCAATGATATTGAGAGAGTGATGAAATCCACATCATTTCCCGCAAATTTTCGTATCGTCCTGCAGAAATGAAAATTACTTTATTCATATCAAATTGCATTTTTTTTTTCACATTGAAATGCGTTAAATTCTCGCATTTCTTGGTAGGCGGAAATAAACAGAAATTAAAAGTTAATGTTTATGTAAATATAGTATCTATTGAGATAACTAATTAAAAATTTAGGACACGTTAAAATTTAAATCAAATAAATTATTTTAGTCTTATATTAAATTGTAGTTGGTTATGCTTATAAGTATTATTGCATGGTGGTAATGTTATGCTAATGATAAACTTAGGTATGTAAATGCTATATTTTTATTAATTTGACTCAATACTTAATTAAATTGGATTTAGTTTAAATTGAATCATAAGTTTTTTTTAAAATATATTTTTTATTAAGAAATTTAATTTTGAAATATTTTTTTAGAATTTTTAGAATAATTTTTTAATAGTAGATTGTAGAATTTATTATTTTAATACTTTAGAAATATAATTTGATTAATATAATAATTAAATAATAATTGTATTATTAATATTATTTAATAATCTTGGTAAAATTCCTCACATGTAAAAAATTGAATTAAATTTGATTGGATTGAGTTATTTGAATGAGATCATATTGTATTAGATATTACCTGACCTAATAAACACTAATTTTAGTTTGTTATTTTGCTCCACGACCATTATTAACCTAAGTTATAAATTATAAAAGATTTGTTTTTCCTATCACCTTACCAATCAAGTAATTTTGTCATAACGGTAGTGTGCTTAATTGAGGTGATGAAATTAATTTTAGTAATTTGGTAAGAGATAAAAAGAGAATGTATAATTTAAAAAAAAATAGTAAAATTTATTAATTATCTCTCTTTTCTTTTTACTCATTTTTGTATCTTTCTTGCATTCTTTTTTCTTAACTAAAGACCTATATTTTATTTACTTATTTTCACTTCTTTAATTTATTTTTACTAACATATTTTCCAAGATTTAAAAACTAAAATAGGATGAACTGAATCCAACTATAGTTGTGTCTATCCCAAAATAATGATAATATGTAATAAAGTCTACTTTTTTTATTAAAATTTGATATGTTAAATTTTAAAATTTTCTGAATGATTATATAAACCCAATTGTTTCAGCAACAACTTGAAACAAAGATAACCATTATGTTGCAGTATACCATTAACTAGCATCTGATCACAACTCATGAGATTTCAAGAAACAGGAAGGAAAAAAAAATCAAGTGTTGTCAAGTACTTTTATTAAGAAAAATGAAGTAACAGAAAAAGTAGGTGTAAAATAGGAGTAAACCAAGTAGATTTCAGAAAGGTGTTAATATTTATCAATTACTTTAGAAAATTGAGAGCAGCAAAGTTTATTTAAAAGTGATTCCTTTTTACAAAGTCATCTATTTTCCAAATTCACACTTTATATTTTCACGAACAAAACTCAACAAAAGATATAGCATGTTTGTCTTGTTAACCACAACCTAGTATAGAAGTCAAGTCAACTATATGGACATGTAAAGTAGTAGTAAAATTCACACAAAATATCAAACAACCAAAAAAACTAACTTTATTAGTGTGAAACTATAGTTAAATATACATGTTATTCTGTCCACGTAATCCAAAGTCACCTTGTGAGTGTGTGGTTATATATATATATATATATATATAAAACAATTATAATATATTAATAATAAAATAAAATAAAACAACATAAATAATAATAATATAAAATAAAATATTTTATAAGGCAAAATTATATTACGTATAAGTTAAAAATATTATTTTAATAATAAAAATCTATAAATTACTTTTATCATATAAAAAAAAACTTTTTTAAGTAAAAAACCATATTCTGTTTTAAAATACATATTAAATTGTATCATTAATTTTTTTACTAGGATCACTTAACCGCTTAATTTAACAACCCTTTTAAAAAATAGTAAAATTTTTATATGAAAAAATTATTTTTAAATATATTTGAATTTTTTTGCATACTTGAAATTAAATTACCCTATCTAAAATAAGAACTTGAAAGACAAGAGTTTGAATTGATTAACAAAAAGCATTTAAAATAAAAGAAATTAAAATAAAAATAGTTTAAAATTTTAACAAATCAAATTCCTTGAAATTTCTGAGGCCTTAAAGAATTTTACATAGGTTTTTAAGATAAAAGATATGCTAAATTAAACTACTGTTTGATTTAACCCTATCCATTGTAGTTGGAAGTGTCAACGATGTACAACTTAGGACCAATATTTTTCACTCATATTTTATTCACAATCAAACATTACTTATTTACGAATCACGCTTTCTTGTATTTCTTTTGTACATTTTTGTCATGGTTATATAAAATAAAACAAGCATTGGAGGATGGGAAGTGTGGATAATTACAACATAACACCGTAATTATTACTGTGTCGGCACTACCATGTCTTGGTATATATGGCTGACATGAGCTAAAATTGCGCAGAAGGGAAGATGGCAGCACCATTTTGGGTCAAAATGCAAATTATTTTATGTTAATGGATATACTTTCCAATTCCAAACCATAGTCAAAGAAACACACTTAGCTATGTAGCTAGCTAGGACAATATACATTGGATCATTCACATTATCTACAAAATTCTAAATTCCTATTGGTTTACATATACAGATTAATCCATTCCATGGCGTTGATGTAGTGAGTCTCGGGCCCGTAGAATACATTGTCATCATAACCATCAACTCCAAACTCCCCAAAGAATGGTGGGTCCACCGCCTCCATAGACTGTGATTGCGACTGTGAGGAGCTAGAACTGTTGCTTGGAACCCTATCACCACTTTCTAGCAGCCTCTGAATCTCCTTCTCCGCCTCAGAAAGTTGCTCTTTCAGCTTCAGAACCTGCAACCAAGGGTTCCACATGTTACAACTTAATATCATCTTGTCGTATCTAACCAAAGATAAGCCTCAGAGGGGGAAGGGGCACTGTTAGGGGAATATATCTTAAAAAAGACACATGATCAGGTTAATGCCATTTCACGTGGGAACACATGGTACGTGTCTTCCACGTAAGCGGGCCTTGAGCAGGCCCAACGTGAGTTATCCTCATAATATCGTACGGAACTTATCGAACAAATGGAAGAAACAGTGCCTTTTGTTGTCTACTAAGGTGGCAGTTTGCTGTTCCTTTTGTTAGTGGTTTTTCCTGTTTTGTTTTTATTGTTGGATTTTTTTTTTTTTCTTTCCGCATCACTTATCTATGGCTGAGAACTCAAGTCTCACATAGGTTTCTTCGAGCCCAGAGCTCATATGGTGGGTCTTGGTTTCTACTTTCTTTTTTCCTTCTTTTGTTTTTTCTCACATTTGGGGTTCCTTTTGCTTTGCCCTGAAGAACCGGTTGCATGCGAATACTTCTACATCTCTTTCAACATTTACAGGATTAAACTACTCCAACAAGAATCGTAAACTAACAAATAAAGAGACGACTACAGAGTTAAAGAATCAATAGGGAATAAAAAATTGTCAAGCCCACCACAGATGTAACGTGGTGACATGCTAACCCGAAATTGACGTTTCTGTTTTCAGAAAAGAAAATGATGACACACTATCGTTTCGGTGAGTGTAAACTCTGCGGTGCTCGTGTACAAAGAATTGATTGGTGGAAAACGAAGAAATTTCAATTTCAGACTCTCTAGGCAGCGTACTACCTCCACTTGTGCTTTCAGTTTCCACGATATTTGGCCATAAAGTTATACTCTCAGTACAGTTTTTTTTTTTTTTTTCCAAAAAAGTTTCCTTTGCAGAACAACGAATATGGACCAATGAAATGCCTCTGGCTTCATAATTGTGTACGATTTCTTCCTTTCAAATATAGTTGCGCTCAGAATAATTTTGAAGGAAAACCAAACTATAACCTGAAGTTATTGAAAGAAATTAAATTTGAGCTTAATAAAATATACGAGAGAGAAGAAGGAAAAAGAGGTATACCTCAGTCTCCAAGCGACATTTCTCGAGCATGGTGGCTTCATGGGATTTTTTAAGGTTTGAGTACTCTTCTTCAAGTTTTTTGTTCTTCCAGCGAGCTCGTCTGTTTTGAAACCACACTGCAACTTGTCGAGGGTCCAAACCAAGCTCCAATGCGAGCCTGTCTTTTCTCTCAGACTCAAGTTTATGCTCATTTCCGAAGTTCTGCTCAAGTAGATTAACTTGCTCCGCACTAAGCTTCCTCTTCTTGTTGGCATCGGAGGCACCGTTTTCACCTCCTTTGTTCTTCTTACTACGACGGCGTTTTGGCTTCTTACTCTCCCCTGAAAAATAATGACAGAAACCAATAGTTAAAAGTAAGGTGTATGAAGTAACCGAGAGTAATGTTTGAGCATGGATTCTGACCTTGTTGGGCAATTATTTGAGTGTATGGTGCATCGGCAGGGTATATCTGAGACATGAACATCATATGGTCTTGGAAAGGTCGATGATTCATTGTGGTATGGTATGGTATGGTATGTTATGTTCCTACCAAGCTATAGCTCGATCTCTCTCCACTGGTTTCGATCTCTTCGATCTCAAAACCAGTGTGATATGTTAGTTTCTTCACCTTGAAAAGACGATATGTTTTTAGAGAGACAACATAAACCTTACACATATTTATAGGCAAAAAAATGATGCCTGTCCAGTTAGTTTGTGTTGAAGGAAGTGGAATAATGCATTCTACCAAAATGCCCCAGCTTCTGCACAAATTTGCAGATCAGTGCCCTTCTGTTTTTACTGTTTATTATTTAATACTTGTCAAGACTCAAGCCACACCAACAAATAAAATACGTACGGACGCATCTCAATAGACCATAAGCAAATTATACGTACCAGGCATATAATAAGTGGTCTTCCTTGTGTATTTACGAATATATGGTACGAAAAGTATTCAATTATATTTTTTAAATTGGTTTTCAAAATTTGATTGTTAAATAACTTTCTATTTTTATGCATATTTGTTTTAACAAAAAATAAATATTTTTATTTTTTTATTATATATTTGTAGACACACAATGGACAACTTCACGTGATAATATGAATACACCACATATTATCTATACTTTATATTTACTTCCCACCAATTCATCCATAAAGTTGAATTTAACACCTTAATTTGTATGCATATATATATATATATATATATATATATATATATATATATATATATATATATATATATATATATATATATATATATATATATAAACTCCTCCGTCATGAAACTTTTTTCTTCATCTAAATTTGGAAATTTTTTTCAAGGAATATCGTGGATATATATCTTGACTCATATAAAACATATATTTCTATATTTAGCAGCACACTTTTTTAAATATATATATTTATTATTCAATTAAGTTTTTATAAATTGTTGTTTTAATAAACACGACTTTCCTTTTTATTTAATTATTTTAATTTTATTTAACGTTTAAGTAATAATATATTGAAGTAATTTCTAAAAGAATATCTAGTAACCTTTACTGTTTAGGTACTGGTTCAGAAAAAAAAAAAAAAAAATATATATATATATATATATATATATATATATATATATATATATATATATATATATAATAATCATTTCCACACTAAAGGGGTGTATATGTATCATGGGGGTTTAAGAAAGAGATAAAAGTAATAATGTATATGATTAGAAAAAGAAAAGAAAAAAAGACAAAGAATAAAATGTAAAAGACAAAAGTTGAGAAATATTCTTAAAACAATGGTTAAGAAATAAAAAGTAAAATATTTTTATTAGAACATAAAAAATTCAATATTTTGAATAAACTTAAAAATGTGTTTAAGCATTTTAAAAAAGGGTTGAGTAGAAAAAGCAATTGTGCAAAACAAGTGTTAAAAGGTTAAAAAATGGAAAGGTGAAGAGAGGGAAGATAATTTAGGTGGATAAGGGATTGAAGAGTGGATGGAAAGAAGTTTGAATGGTTTTGTAAAGCTTGTGTCTGTGTAAAAAGGGAAGTGATTTAGACTTTCCTTAATAAGAGATTTACAAAGAAGAGAAGGTCAAAAAAACGATAATGGTGTGTGTGTGAAAAGAAAAGAAGAGATGGGCACCAACTACCAACCAACCAAAGAAGCCTTTTGGAATAAAGAAAGAGGGATGGGTTGTGATCCCAAAGCTGAGCACCTCGAGCTTAATAAACAATAAAGAGAGGTTAGCCTCTGGATTTGGACATGTAATGTAAGCTATTTTTGTTGTCCATTTGGGTGGTACCCTCTCACTTCCATTTACATATATGTTTTTCCCCTAATACCGATTAAGCCACACGGCTTAGCTCCCCATGCGTCGCTCCAAATTCTTCCATGTCCTCACAAATTCTTCCTCCATTTTTTTATTTTTCTTTTTTATAATTCATATTATGCAACTTATTTAAGACCCAAATACTCATTTTCCAAGACAATTAAGGTCATGATAACGACAAAATCGACAAAGATAATGACGGATGACAGTACCCAAAAAAAAAAAAGGATTCCCATTTACTATATATGCGTCGTAAAGTTTATGTCCTTTTGTTCTCAATCTCATCTCCATATGACATAAAAGACAATGTATCAATCAAGTATATAGCAACATTATACCACTTCCCACTCAAGAATACATCTATAAAGTGGAAAATTAATGTCATTTACCTTTATAATAGGTTGCACCGGGAGAAAGACGATGATAGACAACTCACTGCATTTGATTGGCTGAAGACTAGAATAGAGGAGAAAATTCAATTATAAATATATGCATTTTTTTTTCTTTCTCATATTTACTTGGAACACCTCCAGATTTTTTTCCTTTTTATCATCTTTTGTTTATCTGAAAATTATTTTAAATAATTGGATGCAAAATTAATAAAGCATATAAAATAAATTTAAGTGTGCAATTTAAAACAAAAAATCTGTTTTTAATATCATGTCACCATAATGAGCACACTTCAACGCTCACAAGTCACGTCAACATATTTTATTTACATTTTGACAAAAATATTGATTTTATCTAAAATATATTTACAAAAATTGAAGTCTAAATGAATTATATACATAAAAAAACAAAACTGTACAATCATAAAACTTCAAACACGAAAAGCAAACCTAGGTCTTTTTTTCTCTGTTCCTCGTCTACATACACCTGATCTGTGGGATGTACCTTCGTAGAAAGTCAAGAAAATAAAATAAAAACTTAAAAACCAACCAAGTTCATCAATTGTGAAAATAACCATCATAAAATTGTTAAAAAAATGTGAGTTAAAAAAAAACTTGAGATATTTTGTAATGATGATAAGTATTTTGAGAATAATAATAATAATAATAATAATAATAATAATAAAAAGTTAGTAGGGGTTAGATATGTGAGTTTCCTTACTTTTTTAATTTAATTTAATTTGATGGTAATATTTGGCATAACCCTGGCGTGTACACAAATGGAACGCGACGTGGCAGCAATCTAGTCAACGTTTGGGAGAATATTCAGATTCAATGTTGGACAATAAATAAAGGGTGTCCCCTTTGGAATCCTTGAAAAAGGTTTCTCTATCCTAACATGTCGCAATGGTTGAAGTAGCATAAAAGTGTAGACGGTGGGATCAATGAATTGGCCAGAAAAAAGAAAATTGTAGAAAGAGTTAAATTCCCCTCACATTTTCTTCCCTCCCACCCATAAACCAATTCGTCTTTTCTCTCTCTCTCCTCTGCAATGATCAAAACTAGCTTATCTTTCAGGGTTTCCTAGGGAGACAAAGGTTGTTGTAGTTCCAGACCTTTTTCTTTATCATCGCGGTACAACCTCTATCCTCACCATTCATTCCACTCCTTTCACTCTCCTACCACATTGCATGCCCTCCTATCGTGTCATTTTTTAACCATCCACTCTTTTTCTTTTAACATTTCTCCATACTCCCAATCAAAATTTTAATATCATCTAAGTCACAACAATTCAATAATTTAATATCTTCATATTTTTAATTCAAAATATTCTTATATTTATACAAATATTTATGATTTTAATTCTCCTCACACAAGTACCTAACAACTTTTTTTCCTCCTGCTTGTTTTCTTCTTCTTCTTCTTCTTCCATTCGTTCTAATTCAACTAACTAAGGGAAACTTTTAGTTCATTATAAGTTGAGTATCATACCACACTGATCAAAGGAAAGTCATCAGTGATGTAAAATCTGCTTGTACGAATTATGTGCTGTCGTGTTCCTATCACTCAACTTGTACCAATTTCAACAATCTTGCATGCCGCAATTCTACTCAAATTTTATTTTTTATTTTTTCTTTCCCATGAATGAATATAACATTGTGCTCAACTTATGTTTTGGATTCTAGCATAAATAGATGCATTGTGTATGATTTTAAACAATTACAATATAATAACATAATATCCACTAATAATAATTTACAGACATTAAGTTCATTAATTAATGGGCCTTGCAAATTTGCATGAAATATATTTTCTTTGTCCAAATTTTTAAAAATTTTGTTTTAGTTTTTTGAAAAAGTTGTCATATGTTACGTTATCTAATTTAGAAAAACTATAATTTTAATTTTTAAAGTGTGATTATGACGATTTATAACTGCAAATTATAATCTCGTCATAAAAGTAAACTATATGTTTTTAAATTAGAATAATAAAATAGTATACAACCTATTTTCCAAAACATACTTTATATTTATATTCTAAATATTTTGATTGTATACAATTAAGAGGTATTTGAGATTTTAGTACCTAGCTATTTTCTCACTATAATCGATCAGTATCGTTTTAAATGAAGCGAGTTAAGTATTAAAGTACTTATATTTTTTAATATATCTTAAAAAATTACATCTACAAAAAAAAGCGAAGGTTAATAATATCTTTGTGTGAAAGAAGGTGATGATTAGAATACGTAAATCTTAGCCACTGATTTGTAAGATTGAAATGGTGTCTGCGTGGCAAGCTTTTATGTTTGGGTGGTTATCCGAGCGTAGCAAGTAATTAACTCGTCTTGGTTTGGTAATCAGGAATCGAAGATGTTGGATGAACGACATCATAAAAAACACCACATGACATGTTTCACTAATTTAGCCCTACACTATGATATAAGAAAAAGGAAAAAAAAACATGAACAAATACGAAAAAAGAAAGATAAAAAAATACGGTGTTAATACTTGTAACGATATTTAAACTTGTAGAGATATAAAAATTGAAAGAGAATTAAAGGCATAATAAAAAGTAAAAATTAGAAAGGAGATTGTTTCGTCCTCTTGTGATGATGAAAGAAAAACAAAAAACAAAAGGAGTGAGCTGAGTTGTGAGCCGTTAATTCGTTCGAAGCCGGAGTTGAGTAGTACAGAAAGCTGAAGCAGAAGCACGGGAGAGAGTTAGGACGATAAAGACGCATTGTCCAAACCAAAGAGACGCACATGGGGGCAACTCAAACACCTTAACGCGTGTCACCACCCCTTAAGCACTTTACTGGGACCACGCACTCCATTTCCACTCCACGCGTAAGCTCTCTATTCACCTTAATTCTGCCACAACACATACTTCTTCTTCTTCTTCTTCTTCTTATTATTATTATTATTAAAATTATTAACATTTATTGTATCATATTCACTTTTATTATACATATAAATTAAATATTATAACTGATTAGATACAAAATTATAAATTTAACATTTTGTTTTAATTTTAACTGCATAATATAACATCACACATAATAATAATAATAATAATAATTATTATTATTATTATTATAATTATTTATTGTTATTTAGTTAGTCTGTGTGGACTCCTCTTCAGCAGATCCAATCACAATCTGATCCTCTCATTGGATATTCCCCCTACACGAACTGTAGCCGCCAGACTTGAGAACGCCCACACTCAACGTCCATTCCAAAATTACATATTTTTGGGTCCGGTTGTGTGGAGGGTGATATAGAAATGTGATTGGATTCATTATCTAGCACAGGGAGGGGGGTTACTTACGAGGGAAAAGTTACCTAATATGGTGAAAGTGTCTCCCCTATGGAGAGGAAAGACAAAGGCTGGTTGTCAAAACGGAACAAGACCCCATTGATTAGGGTGGATTCAATGAACCATGAGCAGAAAGGTAGAAAGTGCACGAGGAATTCGTCAACAGTGTCAGGAGCCATGGGGCACTGATTGGGATGGATGTTTAATTGTTGTTATTATTTTATATCCTCACATCGTTTTCAGGCCAAAAGCGTAAGCAGATGTGTTTTGTCATTTTTCCATTTGTGAGGGGGAAAGTTGGGATTATTGTAATGGTGGGTACAATAGACATGTTTGTTTTGAGTAAAATAAGATAAGATGAGATTGCAAAGCGGAATGCTTCGTCAAGTTTACTAGAGTTTATAACTGGATTTAAAGTAAAGATAAAGGTGGTGGTAAGGTAATAAAGGATAAGGATGAAGGTGCATAGAGCATGGTCAGCAGTGAAAAAAGGGCATGAGAGAGAGAAACGGAGAGATTCGCTCCCAAGTTATATATATATATATATTCTGCAAGCCAGATCAAGTTGATTTTGTGGTTAATTAATTAGGGTTTTGTTTAACATAGAACGGATAATATATGCCAAAGAATATGCGCGTGCCACGGACGGGATTCCCTTGCTTATTGCTTTTGAGTTGTTTGTCAGTCTAATAATTCTCACTTTAACTAAACTACTCAATCAACTACACTAAAAAGGCCTTAAACAAGTGGGTGTCATGTTTGTCCCGACACCTACACCTCTTGTTTCCCATCTTCCAACTTTCATTTACTTTGCTCTTCTGCTACCCTCCTCTACATTTTCACTCTCCCTCATCAAACTGCATTCCCGTCCTTATGGAATATCTTATTTCCTTAAACTCACTTCAACTAAACCTTAATTCCATATACCCCGGATCCGAACAAATTATATATCTAATTATAACTACTTACTCTTCTCTAATCATTCAGTGTAGTAGTTCTGTAGTGGACCTGCTTTTTTCAATTTTTTGTTCAACCACATCTCATGGACTCGTTAGATCCAACATGAGAACTCAAACATGACCCATGTGTAGCAATTTTCACCAACATCGTTTGCTCTACCACCTTTTCAGTGATCAATTTACACCACAAATCTTATACAAAATTTCTCCGGACACCATCATACTAATACTATTTTATTAATTATCATCACCACCAGGACTATTGAACCTCTCTCAACTCTCAATGTGATGCCATTTAATCTTTGTTTTAGTTATCAAATATGGAACCCATTGGTCCTATTTGTGCCTCCCATCATTCGCAGCATAAAAATATATATGGATAATGATATTGTGATAAGGATATATATGCATGTGAGCAATGTCATCATCCGCGGGGTCAATTTTGTTTGTGTTGTATGCGCCACACACAGTTCTCTTCCATGTTTCCCTCCTTCCATACTAATTCGTTTCACGTTTTAGCCTCTGAATACGTGCTTAATTTAATGTCAGTTGGTATCTTCTTTTAATAATGTAAAATCCAGTCATGTTTGTGCACCTAAACTACGAGTTTCCATCTCTCAATTTTTAATTAAAAGTTTTCAAGCTATAGACCTAGTTTTCAACAATCCCTGAATTGCGCCATAATTTGGGCCATTATCTATTTTTCTGTCACTTATGACCAAGCTTAACTCAGCTCTAACTTCAAGATTAATGAAGAAGGGACACGGCTCACGCACCCTACGCTACACGAGCCAATCACCCCACAACGCACCAACCGAAGCAGTGTCATTGGTTAACGACCCAACAAAGGTTTATGTCGATCAGGCCGAGCCTTTGTGTTAGAGAAAGTAACTCGCAATCAACTAAACCCACCCCCATTGGTGAAAATATGCAAAGGTTGTATAGTCAAATACTAGATGAAAAGAAAAAGGCGTTAAGAAATTAAAGGCTGAGCTGAGCTTTCAATTGGAAGGCAAAGCCCTAGCTAGTCGCTTTCCTAAAAAAGCTTCACATTTAACTATGAAACACACACATGCAAACATAAAGGTTGGATTATTCCCTACGCTCAAAAGCAAGAAATCTCCACACAGCTAAGTCAGTATCTTCCAGAGAGTTTGTATAATAATCAAAGATTCTGGCGATTACTTGATTATTAAACTTTTTTTTAATCCCTTAATTAATTCGGATTAAAGAAGGAGCAGACGTACGAAACGTGGCAGGTGGACTAGTGGGGATGTGGCGTTTCTGCGTCCTTCGATTCCATTTTATTTCACACTTCTTTAAGGGATTCCAAGCTGGCTGCCTTTCATTCTGTAAACTACCACATGCTTCCCACTCATCTTGTTATTATCTATTCCTTCCTTTCTTTCCTTTCTTCCTTTTTTTTCTTCCATCATCTAATGTCTCAACAGTACAGGTTAAACAAATCAATAACATAGCAAATTTGTTAAAAATTATGGAGGACTGAAGAACAACATAAAAAAATGATCATTTATATATAATTTCTCAATGAATAATATATGTCAATTACTAGTTAGTATTCTGCTTTTTCTTTCTTCTAAATGTATTGGGAAATTGGTTGGGTTGGGGTATCTGTCCATCTGATAACCAATGGTTTGATAATAAACAGAGAAGTGATATCAAAAGACAATGCCATATATGGGACATGTGTTGGGCACAAAAAATAGCCGGGTGTCGATCGAGCAGATATGGAATCTGGGGGCAAAATTACTTAGATTGATTTCTCAGGTGTCCTTTGATCCCAAGACAACTAAACAAGACTTCTCACCCGTTCTTTCTTGTACTATTTTATTTTAGCTTTGCGTGATGCATCACAATGTTTCGTGGTCCTTCTGCTCCCTCACCTTCAGGCTCTTATTTTGGGGTTCGCCATCTTGGATATATATACTGTGGGCCACCGCAACCCAGTGTTACTGAAACCCTTTAGTTCAAGCAGCACACACACACACACATATATATATAAAAGCTCTATTTGCATGAACCATATATGTTATAATATAGTGTGCTTACTTGACTTCAATCGGAACTTAGAAAAAGTAAATTTGGAGTAGCTAGCTACCAGTATATAAAACTAAATCGAATCAGTTACGACCTGACGAGGCAATATAATTTTTATATCCTTTGTGTGATCATCGAAATATTTTTATGGTTAAGAAATCTTAAGTATATGGTTCACTTGCATTTGACAAATGAAGAAAGAAAGAAGGTATCCCGGCCCACGGTAACAGAGGAAGTCATGTAAGACTTTTCTTCTGTTTACTGCAATGCGTGGAACACATGCATGTGGACATATATTCTATATATGCAGACATTTAAGGAAATACGTGAAGGTGAGAATTTTAAACGGATAGGGCAAGGGCAATAGCAGATGAGATGAGACACCGTAGGATAAGGTCACGCGTTATGATATTGTCTCACCTCAAAAATGTGAGGGGATGAATTAAGGCTGAAAGACATTGTTGCTAAATTTTTTAAATTAATAATTGAAAAATATTATTGAACTCCTCCGAAACCTGTTTTGGTCAGCCTATTAAATTATGATATGGACGATTACGTAACTTCAAACACATTTCAACTGCGGTCCTTTTTTCAAGCCTCTTACTACTAAAAACACTTAAATAAGTAAATATATAAATATTACAATAAACCAAACAATCTGGGACACGTGTCCAGCAGATTGTATGGTTGAGCTGGTTGGAGGCACGTGTACTAGTTGGGGTCCCAGGGATACTTCTGTGGTTCTGCTCGTTCCACGTGGGTCATCCATATTGGTGGGTAGGGAGCAACTGCATGGTACGATTTGGTGGCATTGCGGTCAACCTTGAGGAATGATAATAGTAATAAATATAAATATTTAAAATTTTATTAATATTATATTAATATATAGAATTGTTGGATGGTTACATTTGTAAGAGTAGTTGTTCAAACCTTGTGAGCAAACTGGATTTTTCTTTTATTTTAGCCCTCACTTTCTTGAATCTAAGACTATAACACGCACGAGAAAGTCAATCATAATTTGTAATGCATGCATGCATAGTTACATTTTTTTATCGACAAGTAACATTTAATACTTTATCTTTTAAGGTTACTTGTTCACATTAGATAATCGAAATTGCTAAGTATGTCAAAACAAGCAAATATAAACCCAACTTGTACTCAACCCGGTAGAAAATTGATTTGACTTGAGTTCAAGAGTTAATTAAAAATATCAACTTAACCCGAGTCTAATATCTTGTGATTTGGATCAGTTTTGAATCACCAAAAATAAAATAAAAAATTATAAAAAAAGTGGATAATAAGTTAACCTTTTGAATGAATCAGTATATCAATTATTAAAAAAATAAAAATATTGTCCTATTATTTCTTTTTACATAAATACTCTCTGAAAACTACTTTTGAATTAAATAAATGCAGTAAAAATATTAATAATAATAGTTTATAACTGCTACATATAAAGTAAAAGTATAAATACAAATTCTTTTATTCCAGACTAAAAATTGTAGATTTGTTCATAATTTGTATTAATTATATTTTGGTAATTTAATAGTTGATAATAATAATTCATCTTAGATTAAAAAAATAATGATGAGAGTAAAAAGTAAGTTCGTAATTTTTACTTTTTGTTGTTGTTGTTAACATCTTATTGGGCCTTCAGAGAATCAAAATGGATAACAGCCCGTGCTAATCTAAGCTTCCAATTAAAACTTATTGCGGGCCTCAACTCAGTTATTACAGTGAGAAAGACGGGCTTCTTATATTATTGGGCCAGTTTGATGCTTGAATTAACTTCAATTAATCAAACAAGAATACTATTAATAAGAAGTAACATAAACATTATGAATCCAAAAAAAATGCATTATGAATCTTATACCCGACTGCGTATTTATTATATTTATGATTTATAAATGTGTATATTTTAAATGATGAAACTATTTACGTACTTACAGACCAATCTATATAAAAATAAGTTATTTTAAAGTTGTAAAATGACATAGTATTTTGCTGGCATATAAATCAAGTATCTATTTACTTGCGTAGCCCATTCAGACTTTTCTTTGGTCGAATCTGGGTCAATTCAATATGCAAATGTAAAACGCAAGTTTGGTCCAGAAGAAATAAAAACTGGCAATTTTGTTATCTAAATAGATGGGCTTTTGTTTGGTTATGTCGGAAAAACAAATTGGGCTAAGAGAGTATGTGTTTACCACCACAGTTTAGAATAAGCGAGTGTACTTGAGATATGTATAAAAGTTTTTACATAAAACTTATATATAAATTAACGTATGCACAAATTAAAATATAAAAATATAAAAATATTAGATGAACCATTTCTACAAATTTATTTATTTATAAATTAATTTTAACTAACTTGATTTCGTTTTCTTCTAGAAGTCCTTATAAGCCTATTATTATAGTAGTGTAAAGTAAAGAATAGATTGAAGAAGTTGGTGGTAGAAAAAGAAATACAAGTGAACGCAAGAAAAGAAGGCGTTAAGGAAGCGCATGGTTGTCGTTGGTACGCGGGTGGAGCGACGTCATCGTTTTGCTTAGGTTGGGGAAGTGGGGACGTGTCCATCCTTTTATTTGAAAGCGAGGATGAGAGTGACATCAGCAATCATTCGAAGATACTTAAAACGACTCTGAAGACTCTTTCTCTCTCTCACTCACCTCTGAAATTCTGAAATCTCACTCCTACTTGGATTCTTCCATTCCCTTTCTGTTACCAAAATTCTCACTCCAAATTTCCTTCTACATTCCCAATTCCTCCATAATGGGTAAAGGTGGCGGTTGTGTTCCCAGCAAGAAGAAGCGCACGCCGGTTGCCGACGATAATCCTAATGACTCCGCCCCATCTCCCTCGCGCCCGGCGAACGCCCGACCGCGTGAACCCGACGCGTCTACGTCTGTGTCGTTGCCTCCCGCCCTTGCCAATTTGAAGATCTTCATTGTGTTTTATTCGATGTACGGACACGTCGAGGGGTTGGCGAAGAGGTTGAAGCGAGGCGTCGATGGCGTGGAAGGTGTGGAAGGGGTTTTGTATAGGGTTCCTGAGACATTGCCGACTGAGGTTCTAAATCAGATGCGGGCGCCGCCCAAGGATGATTCCATTCCTGAGATTGCGGCGGCAGAATTGGCGGCGGCGGATGGGGTGCTGTTTGGGTTTCCAACCAGGTACGGGTCCATGGCTGCGCAAATGAAGGCTTTCTTTGACTCCACTGGACTTTTGTGGAAGGAGCAGAAGCTTGCGGGGAAACCCGCAGGGTTCTTTGTTAGCACTGGGACTCAAGGAGGAGGCCAAGAAACTACTGCGTAAGAATTATTTGTTTCCTTTTCATTTTTTCGTTTCTTGTTAGTTCTTGGTTGTTAATTTCAGTTAAATTTGGAACTTGACATGCATTGATTTAGTTCTACAGATTGTATGGACAAAATGAGTTTGTACAATCTTTTTCAATGTATTAATTAATGTCCAAGACATTGATTTCTAAAGAAGGAGAGAGAGAGTGCTATTGGTTAATCGGATTATGTAGAAGGTTGATTTTCAACATAAATGGCTTGTATGAAGCGTCGTACTAACGCCATAGCAAATTAGTTATTACCTCTGAAAGCTTTCTACATGTGAGTTTTTTCATTTTTGGTCTTTAATTTATGAGGAGCTTTCTTCAGGTGTCTCAAACTGTTATCTCAGGTTTTCAGCTGCTTAATTGATGAGTAATTGTGACTTCAAGAGAGTTCCAATGTATTCTTCAGTTCTTGTGTGCTATTTACTAATTATGGTTCATACTACATCTAGATTGTCAAGCATCAGCCCGATGAATTTTCAGTTAAACTGTGGGGATGATATCTAAATTCAAAAGATTCTTACATAGAAGTTCAGGGTAGTATGCAGATTGAATTGCTTGTTAAGGAATAACCACACACTTTTTTTTCCCCCTTTTTTTTTTCCCGTAGTGCAAGAGAACAATGTTTTCACTTCTTCCTATTCATTAAGCGGATGAATAAAGTGACTGTACATTCTAGACGACAAGCAAATAAGTCAAAATTGAATGTGAATTTGTACAAAGGATCTTGATGATGGAGATCGCATATTCTTCTCTGCATGAAGCAGTGATTTATTACACTTGATGATGGAAATTACAACTGTTTCTTAGATAATATTGATTGAAAAGCGATATCAAAAAATTACTTAGTTTTGTGCTCTTTTATTGCAGTTGGACAGCAATCACTCAGCTGGCACATCATGGAATGCTTTATGTTCCTATTGGATATACATTTGGACCCGGAATGTTCAAGATGGATTCCATTAGAGGAGGTTCTCCATATGGTGCAGGAGTTTTTGCCGGCGATGGCACAAGACAGCCAAGTGAAACAGAGCTGGCTCTTGCAGAGCATCAGGGCAAGTATATGGCTGTTGTGGTCAAGAGGCTTGTCCGGTCATTATAGTGTTTTTCATTCTATTCCTGTTGGTCATCTGCATTTTTGGACCTTTCTTTGTTGTCAAATTGGTTCTGGCATTTTACCATTGCACTGTGAGGAGGAATGAGAGCTCTGTTCCATAATTGATTCTGTTGGGGTTGGGGGATTCCCATGTTGTTCTGGGTTCTGCATTGTTTCTGGAAGCTGTAGATGTTGATAGATTTACGTCAAATAATATTTGTGAATTTGTGTATCTACGTGTTTCCGATTCTTTCTGTGTGCCTATATACATGAATGTGTACGATGACTTGGATAATAAAATTCTTATAAACTGGTGATTGTGACATCGATTGTCGATTATTTGAAAATAATGCATTTATCAGCTTTGAATTTGTGTACTAATTTACCAACACTATTTTCATAAAACTAACACCCAAACCTATTTTATTTTAACTATCCAGTATATTTCAAGTGACCCCATGATCTTCTATTGAGATATAGACGAATTATAGACTTAAGATTCCTTTTTAGTGTGTGTTTAGCACACGTTCATAAGACGTGTTAAACCGAAAAAGTCACTTCAGATCAAGTAAATAGTTCAAAGATGCATTTAATGATTGCGACAGAGGCATACGTGGTTCTTCGCATAATCAAACGTGCATGTGATAATTTTGTCTACTATTTTCCATATTCTTCTTTTACCTCTAGTGATAGGATAGGACATTCCTTCACCGTATTGATATATTATTCTATAAAGTGGGACTAGTCCCCTCCATGCAATTATAATTTATGTAAGGCGAGACTTTACCATTTCTTCCAGAATAGGGATTATTCCATCTTTACTCTAGCCCTAATGACAAAAGGGCCAATAGCAATTGAGGCTACACAGTGTTAAAGATCCAATTTTGTTTTGTATTTGCTGAACTATGTCAACCTAATAACAAACCCATGGTCCACATAAGATCATGACGTGTTTGGTTTTTGTTTTCCCGCCTAAGGTCGTACAACTGTTTACAAAACAGGACTGCTAATAATCTTGGTTAAGACATTGGTTTAAATTTTAATCAACCACAAATGGAACTAGTTGATTGGTAGTTCGGTTTTAAGAATCAATATAACTTATCTTAATTAATGAGGCATGTATATACCGTATTCTTTTTTTTTTTTTTCATCGCACTTTTACCAAATAGCAAATATGATGAAGTGCTAATGTATCACTTTTATTCTTGGTTCGTTCCTTGTTGGGCATGTGTTTTATTTACCATATTTTCTTGTTATTTTTCCAGTCACGATGCACGGGTTATACTCACCGTGGTGTTGTATAACAATTTGCATTGCAATTATCATTATGACAGGTTTTTTAAGTCAAACAAAGTGTAGAATTTGGATTTCGTGTAAGTTATTTAAAAAAAAGAATTATTTTATTCTTATAATTAAATTATTTTAATATTTAGATTGAGAATAAAATATTTTCTTTAACATTCTTCATCAGGTTGTAGAGTAAATATCTAAAATTCCAACCTGAACCCTATTGTAGAGAAAGTTTCCCTCTCTAGTGATTTATGAAGACATGCAAAAAATGTTTATAACTGTTAAAAGTTACTAAACATGATTTGATGACTTTTCAGACATCCAAAAATGATAAAAGATGACAAAGGATTGTGGAGTAACAAAAGAATTTGGTACCATGAACATTGATATAAGAAAGCTTATTTGATCTAATAAGCGGTTGTGTTTTCGTAGTATTAGATAATAAAACTCTTAATCTTTCTATTTTTTATATTATTTTTATTCGTTAGTTATAAAATGATCTTTAAAATGAAACTTCAGTTGTGAGACTGGTATTTTAAGATTATATAATCTCTGTTGTGCTATCAGGGGTAATACATCACGAAACAAATATTATAAGTAAAATTGTTGTATTATAATATATTCTTAAAAGTAAGTAAAAAAAAAAACTGTTTTTAAAATAGTAAATATTTCTTATTTTACAAAATTTCTCTTTTTTTAATTTTTTTTGTCCAAAGTAAATATAAGAATAATTTTATAATTATTTAATTTTTATTTATTTATGGTTTTAAAATAGGATAACATTTTTTTAATATCAAATGAAGATTTGTTTTTCTTTCACTTTTTTATTGGAAGGAAGATTGGCTTAATTGTAAAGAGTTTAACACGTAATCAAAGTTACGTAATTAATACAAATAACTTAATATCCAACAACCATAAAAACCACTCCATGCTGCGTATTGTTTATTTATAAAGATATTATATTTAATAAATATTATAATTCATATGTTACAGCTAAGTTTGGCTTTAAAAACTTATTAGATATATATAAAGAAACACAAGAACTAAAAATTTATCTTTCATCCTTCATGAGTTATTTTCGTTACAATCTAAGATGGTGAGTTACTAATTTATATTATTAAATTATAAAAAAATAAATAATAAAAATCTCTAATTTTAATTATTTAATTAAACAAATATTTTCTCTTCGTATATATATATATATATATAAATTCAACTGGCAGATAAAAATGTAAAAGTTTCATATGATGATTGAAAGATTTAAAACTATCTTGCACCGTCTTCACAACCTACGACACAAGTTGTGTAAACCTAAAGGTTTAGCAAATTCGTTTTTCTGATTAAAATAGTTTGGAAAAAAATTTCTGCTACTTATGTACTGTAAAAAAATATTTTTTAAACATTAAAACTTGAGGATACATTCAGTTAATTGATATTTTATGAAACATTTTTAAACATTGACTAGTTTTGTTAATAAATAAAAATTCGTCATTAATATTTATTTATTTAATTAGTTTTCATTAGTATTGCATTCTTTTATAATCGTTAGGTAATATCATCCATATCTATATTAAACACTAATTTTTTGTTCTTAAAAATTGACAAAAATTATGATAATTTTTTTTAAATATTTTTAATCAAATAAAAAAATATTTTTACTTTTCTATTTTAGTTAAAAATTTAAATAATACTAGGGGTGTAGTAATAACATGACTACGACAACCATTGATAGCTAAAATTAATTGGATACATAACTAAAAATGACTAAAAATGACAGAATGATTTTTGGACCTAATTAATTGTATTGTGAGAGACAATTGAACAAAATCATAAAACATGAAAGTGGTGGACCCACAAATTTAAGGCTTATGCACTCATAATTGCTCTAATGGAAAGTATAAATACACTTTTACAAGTAAAATACCTTCTCCACCATCAACAGAAAAATTATACTTTTTTACTCATTTATTTTCCCTTCCCCTTTCTTTACGTTTTAGTCTTTTTGCAGCCTATCTTTTTATTTTTTAATTCACCCGAATTAATATCTTTTTCATATTTTAGTATATTATTACAATTAATTTATCTTTTTCACTTAGGAGTTGCCTTACATAGTTTTAACTAATCTACTAAACAATCTCTTTTGTAGTAAATTAAATACCGACCATATCAATAAATAATATCTCATCCTCCAGAAAATCGCCCAAAATAGAATATGTTTGATTCCTTTAATTTCTAAACTGATTTTTACTTTATTAAAATTCTTATAGATCCAAACATGTTTGTAGGTCCATAAAGCACAACACTGTACCATGGTCATAAACTGTTACCGACAAACACACTAATCAGACACCCATGGTACCAAGGTGTCTATTTTTTTTATTTTTTGTCATAAAAACGTTGTCTTAACCATTCAAATGTTTGAAAATATCTTATCGACTAATAGACATCAGAAATTTCCAGACTTGGTTTCAAATATCTATCGACTTAATTCTAATTTTGGTTGTTTTATTTATTAAAATTTGTAATTTTAGTCCATAATTTTGTTAATATAATTTTAATTTTATAAATTTTAGTTTTAATTTATAGTTTTATAAATTATAAGAACCAAATTTGTTTAAAATAAAATTCAATATCAAAATTATACAATTGTGTAAAATATGATTGGAGACGTGCACCGCATAATTGCTCCATGTATATAAACCTATTAAAGTGGATTGTAGTAACTAAAACTGTAAGCGGTGAGACTGAGGAAGCAAAATCAAGAAAAAACAATATGGAAGACAAGCTTTCTGCTTTGAGGTCTTTGATGGTTTCTCACTGTCCTCCGCTGGATGCTATAGTTGTGCCCTCTGAAGATTATCACCAGGTACATACATCTATCCCTGTAATATTATTGGATCCAACTTGTTCACTTTTTTTTTTTCTATGGATCTTTTCTTTTTAACTTGATATCTCTTCTGCGATGGTGTTTTTGACTTGAAGAGCGAATACGTATCTGCACGAGACAAGCGCCGTGAATTTATTTCCGGTTTCACTGGAAGCGCTGGTTAGTTTTTATCTTTCCGCTCAATGTTTCTTTGATGCATTTCCGTTCTGCTTTATTTCTTTATTGTAGCGTCTATCAGTTTAGGGTTTAGATTGCGTCCTGTTTTGTTTCACTGCAATTGTTTCAACGTTTCGCGTAATTGATTGGTTCTCGCGGAAGGAAGAATTGTTTCTATAAGCTTGAGAAAGAAGTACAATTTTGTTCTTGTTTGTTAAAGTCACGTGTCTTCAGGTGTCGTATTTCCATGTTTTTTTTTAATGGTATTCAGGCTTGGCACTTATAACAAAGAATGAAGCTCTGCTGTGGACGGATGGACGATATTTTTTGCAGGCTGAGCAAGAACTTAGTGCTCAGTGGAAGCTAATGCGCATTGGTGAAGATCCTGCTGTAGATATATGGATAGCTGACGTGAGTAACCTTGCATTACATACGAATATACATATGAAATTCTTTTTGGAGTACAACATATATATATATATATATATATATATATATATATATATATATATATATATATATATATATATATATATATATATATATATATATAATTAACTTCTTAATTCTTATAACAAGTTAAGACATGGGATTATTAAAGTTCTTCTTGCCAGTAATGGCTATGGTGTTGAATCAGCTCCGAGTTGCTTTCTTAGTATAGTCACACATGTTGTTAGGCATGCTGTAGGCATACCTGACCCCAAATGCCTTTTTAGTGATTTCATATCATGATTCACGTGTGGCTGTTGTCAACGTCGTTGAATAATTGGGAAATGCCTTTGTGGAATATGTACATATATAATCAAATCAAGTTTCTTATGTAAAAGTGGTAAAAGCTAGACCTAGTATCAGTGACTTAGATATGAAAATCACATACATGATTTATTTGCAAACAGACTCGAAATTCAGTAAATTGAAGGTAAATTATGCACCTGCAGACATATCAAACTTTCATCTTTTGTGTGCCATTGTTGAGAGAAGGGAATGAAGAGAAAAAGTTTGGGCTTCACTGGGACCTATTCTTGAAACTATCCTCACTATTTTCATTGTGAGTTTTGAAGCTGCGACTTCATATTTTAAAGAAATATGAGGCACAATCTTCAGTTTCAGAATGAGGCAAAATCGTATTATGATTTACCATGTGAGATTGTTTGAAATTGTTGGTTTAGTAATTTAGAACCTGGCATTTAACACTTGTACATTCTTTATATCTTCTTCACTCAGTACCTGCTAGCAATAAGCTTAAAAATATGATGCATTTCTGCTTAAAATCATTGCTTATTATGAAATGGAGTTCCCATTTAGTTAGTGCTATCTGATCTTCATTAAGCATCATGTAATCTATATTCACTTAAATTTATGATTTTTTTTATCATCACGTCTAAAACAGGCAGGAGGAAGCCACCATAGTTTGGATGACATCCCCAGTTCCACATCATTAACCACCACAGAAACACAGTTTTGTAATTTACGCACATCTAGATAGCATATCTATTGTAGATAATTCAACTAGTATTGTATGTTAATTAGGTAGTTAGTGGGGCGTTAACTAGCTGTTTATAATTGTCCTATAAATAGTAATGATGTATTGTGATATATGTATGTGCAATATTAAATTTCAGATTTAGTACCCATCTCATGTTCTCTTTTCTTTTTCTTCTCTGTTTTCAAGTGAGTGTTTAGTATGTGTTCCTAACACTAGCAATATGTAATCTTGTATAGTTCAGGAAGAGCTGACTTAGCCTGCATTTGCATTAGCAATCTTAAATGAACGGTTTGGAAGAGATTTAGAGAGAAATTATACTGTTTGAAATGTTTACCAAGCCTAAACCTAAACCCATTCTTATTTTGAATGAGGATAATATACTAGATCAGTCTTGCTACATCCATGAATGCTTCTTTGTGATCCATTTTCTATTCATGTCTAATAATAAGACTGTATCTGTGATTTTACTGTGGTATATCTGTACTGATAGGCTTTCCTTTCACTAGAACTTGCCAAAAGAGGCATTTATTGGGGTTGACCCTTGGTGCATTTCAATTGATACTGCTCAAAGATGGGAGCGTGCTTTTACTGAAAAACAGCAGAAGCTGGTCCAAACCACAAAAAATTTGGTAGATGAAGTTTGGATAAATCGACCACAGGAAGAGATTAATGCTGTTAGTGTACATCCACTGAAATTCGCAGGTCGCTCTGTTGCAGATAAGTTGAAAGATTTGAGAAAAAAGCTTCTACAGGAGCAAGCCCGCGGTATAATTTTCACAGCACTTGATGAAGTAAGTGCATCCTCTTGATAACTGTTCCTTTTAATTTCTTTTCCCTTGACACAAATGTTCTGTGAGTTTGTTGATACTTTTGCCACACTCAGTTTTCTTTACCTTTTCACTTCATTTTCAATAACATGGCTACAATACAGGTTGCGTGGTTGTATAATATTCGTGGAAGTGATGTGGCCTACTGTCCGGTTGTTCATGCATTTGCTATTGTGACAACCAATACTGCTTTCATTTACGTGGACAAGCGAAAGGTTTCTGTTGAGGTCAGTTTGAGTAATGTCTCTCACATCAGCTATGAATGTAACCAGTTTAATCACAATTTAGATTGTGAATTGTCAAGCTTATTTTTTATGTTGTGAATTGTAATTCATTATTTATATTGAATTTTAAGATTGACACAATAAAAAACAGTTTGAACTATATGCTATAAAGGATGTATAGTGCTGAGCTCAATTTAACAGTTTTAAACTAGAAATTGACAAAATAATTCAACCGTAAGTATCACAACACAAACTCATTAGTCATAACATGAATGATGGGAAACCTCAATTTCAGAAGAATGAAAACAAAGCAATGAAACAACCAAAATAAGTGGAATAATCAAATAGGTTCCATGCTATAGTTCTCCTCCATGTTCATTTCATTAAAATTAAATTATACATAAGTTAAAAATAGCTTTTAGAAAAACTAATTGGAGAATTTTGATAAATTAGCTTATATATTATACATAAACTAAATTTGCTTATGGATGAGAAAGTCTTTTTATTTTTTCTTATTCTATTTAACCAATTTTAGCTTATGTAGGAGAAACTCTTTCTAGTTTTTCTTATTCTATTTTTCTGGGAGTGCTTATGTAGAATAAACATGCTTTATATCAAATTACTACATGTGGATATGGTACCAAAGACAGGAGAAACAATTATTTTACCCCTATTTGTTTACATAATATATTCAGAATGCTCAATACCGTAGTCATCTTAATCAAAACATTTATTTCATGGTCAAGTTAAATAAGTTTTATTTACATTGAAATATTAAGAAAAGCCTTTTTGGAGAGTCTTAATTTGGCTCATCATCTATTTATCCTGACATTGGGAGGGGAAAATTTGGAGAAATAAAACTCATTAAAATTTTTTATTTGTTCCAGGTTCAAGCTCATTTAGTGGAGCATGAAATTGAAATTCGAGAGTATACAGCTGTAAGCTCTGATGTGACATTGCTTGCAACCGATGAGCTTGATACTATATCTACTGTCAAGAGAGCAAATGGTGCACATCAAGCAGAAGAAAATAGCAACAGCCTCATATGGGCTGATCCAGGTTCATGCTGTTATGCACTGTATGCAAAGTTGATCCCTGATTCAGTTCTGTTGCAGCAATCACCTTTGGCCCTTGCTAAAGCTTTAAAGGTTGTATGCTTGTACCATCTTAATAAAGGTCTTTTGGCTTTTGGTGAAGCCTTCTCAAGTCTATTATTTTAGGAGGAAAATTAGTGTCAGGAGTTGATTTAATAAAAAATATATCTTCGAATTTTTTTCCCCATTTCATTACTTGAAACTTATTTTTCTTTACTTCAATACTTTTAGAACCCGGTGGAATTGGATGGGTTAAAAAAGGCACATATTCGGGATGGTGCAGCGGTTGTGCAGTATCTTGTCTGGCTGGATAAGAAGGTTTGCGTATTTGGATCCTATGTCTCAAAAATATTTTTATTATTTATATGAGGACAGCCATATTTTTCATTCTCTTCTATCTAGATTTTTATATTTTTATTTCTCATTTTAATCTACTTAAAATGCAACATGTTCTGACTTCTGAGGAATGATACAAAATCTTGGTTCAATGAGCAGATGCAGGAGGTTTATGGAGCTTCTGGATACTTTTTGGAGAAGGATTCTGTGAAAAAGGAGAAACATTTGTTAGTTTCTTATTTGATCTGTCCTCACCTCTAACATGCTTACTATAATATACCTTTGTTTGGGAAAAGGTTGACAAGTTGGTTTGGATGTTAACATGGAAAATCATGTCAGATGAAATTTTCCTGTATAAAGCTTCTGAAAAAATTAACATAGTGAAATAATAGTTATTTTTACCTTTGTTAAAGTGACATGATGGCTTTAATAGATCACTGAAGATGTTTAGAGTCTGGGCATATTTCACAGCAATTAGCTCGATAAATGCATCAGTTAAAAGCTAAATCTTATAGTGTACTTAAAGATCTTTGTTTTCATTTTGGCAGGCAGTCCTTGAAATTGACTGAGGTGACTGTAAGTGACCAGCTTGAAAGTTTCCGAGCATCCAAAGAGGTGGAGCTAGCTAAACAATAAGTATTTATTTTGATAACTTTTTTCTGGCAAAGTTTTGTACTAAAAGAAATTAAGTGGTGATGATACCAAAGATTTGGCTTCTGAAATAAGCAGTGGGGAATAACCGTTTTCAGACTTATAAAAGGCTAAATTTTAAAGTTGTTAAAGCTTTTCTCCATAAAAAAGATATTTCATCAAGGACACAATCTTTAATTGTTAGACATTGCAGAGGTGGCATCACCTGTGATAATGTAGGTAGAAGAAGCATTTTAAAAATTAAAGTTCTTAGTATGTCAGGAAAAGACTTAATCATGCACTATTTTGTTTCTTATTATTATGCTGTTTGATGAGAACAGTTTCATTAAAATTGATCAAAATGAATACGCGTTGTTCATTGAGTTCCAAAATGTGCATTTATCTTGATACGATTTTAAAACTTTGTTATGGACTGATAGGACTAAAAATGTGAGCTTAGATGTTGGTAGTTAGCCCAAGGTTTGGAGGTGTATGAAAGGAGAAACAAGGGTATGAAGAGAAATGCTGAGGTGGCAAAAAATATAACAGAATCAATTAATGAGTGAGAAGAGTGGAGGAGAATATAAGAGAGCAAAATTAAGAGAGAGAAGGGGGAGAGAGAATTCTATTAGGGGTAGGGAATATTGTTTTCCTTGTAGGGGCTTGCTCTGTGGCAATAGGATGGTCACCCAACTGTGTTTTTGCTTACTTTTGAGAAATAATACAAAAACTTTCTCATTGTTCTTCCATTCTCTTATTTCTGATTTTGATCCCTAACATGGTGATGGGAACATGGGAATGAAATTGTTTTGATATTTAGTTTATGGAAGGATATTGAGACCACACTCAAGAAAGATAAGAAAGGGAGTGATAAGTCATAAAATTGATAGTCAAATATTATCTTGATAAGATCAACAACGAGTTCATATAAATTGGAACATCATATAACTTTCTCTATGAGAAAATTCAAATTTCATTTAAAATTTCAACATGTCCTTATTATAAATAATCTATTTATAAGTTAAATTCTTATAAATGTAGACTGTAATAATAATTCTCACTAAATATCTAATTAACTCCCATTAATTTTGGTTTTAATTCTCATTATAAGTATCATTATTTTCTATTATGAGAATATGAATGATCATTTTCTTTTAAAATTTTTTGTCTACCCATACTTGTGATATTTGAGCCCACTTAATTTAAAAATAAAAATTATAAAAGAAAATTTAAAACTATATTGACTCTTATAAATCATATCACATGGAATATAGTCCTTCCAAGAATCTGATCAACCAACTTCATGGTGGGTAGTGACTGAACTTTTCAAGTATTGCTGCGAATAAGCTGGACTAAAATGTTGAGACTTGTTTGGTATGTTATATGTAGAAAATCATGCGGTAATATAATAGATCTCATTTTTTCTTTGTAACCTCAACTTGCTTTTATAGTTGACTTCATTTTCTTGAGCACATAAAGCCAAGTATTTGAACGGAATGAAAATAATGAGGGAAATTATTTCTTTCCTATAAACTTAATGGAACATGAATGGCTTAAATTTTTTTTTTTTTTAAGAGAGTATGCTAGCCTATGTTCAATCCTAAGTTTTTTCATATCCCTGTTTTCAGCATTTCAGAGGATTAAGTTTCCCCACTATTTCGTCAGTTGGGCCAAATGCAGCTATCATTCATTATTCTCCAAAGGCAGAAGCATGTGCTGAACTTGATCCAGACAAAATTTATCTCTTTGACTCTGGAGCCCAGGTCTGTCTTATTCTTAACTACTTGCGGCACCAACATTTATAGTGAATTTTGTTGTTTTCACGTTTTGCAATCATGATCTCTACTTCTGTATATTGATAACTGGTGATGTTTCTGAAGTATCTAGATGGAACAACAGATATTACACGAACAGTTCATTTTGGGAAGCCTTCAACCCATGAAAAAGCATGTTATACAGCAGTATGTGCCTTTCTTTGCTGTTTTTACACGTCACTTAGTTTCAAAACTACTAGAGTGGATCATTTTCACATGGGTTTTTGTTTCTGGAAATAGAAAGAAAGAAAATAAGATAAGAATACCAATTTTTTTCATGGTTTGCTTGAGACGGAGAAATAAGAAAGTGGGAACCTTTTTCTTGTTGGATCCACAATGATAGAACAAGCTGTAACTATAGAAACTTTCAAGATAGATTCTTGAATGACTTCATTACTAAGAAAACTGTTTCTGCCAATGTGGTAGAAAACAATAACAAGATACAATTGAGGATCTTTCGAGAAGACCTCACTCTCCCACAACTCCTTTCCTTAGAAAAAACTAATTGTCCTCTTTCCAACAAAACCTTGATTATTTATAATAATCAAGTGCATTGAAAAACATCTATAGGAGGTTATAATTGTCATATTCTGTTATTCCTCCTTTTATACACAATTCCAAACCTATCAATACACTGCCCATGAAGATTCACCTTGTCCTCAGGGTGAAAGTCTGGAAACTCCTTAATAGCAGCATCAGATTCCCAACAATTCTCAATGTCTGGAAGTTGATGTCATTTGAGAAGAACTTCCATCTCATCCATTGAATTGAGGCGAGTATCCAATAGCTTCTTAGGGGTTACTTCCAATGTGTATTCTTCGGATAATATAGGAGGCAAGGGTTGTGATGTTGCCATGGTTCTCACAGCTGGTTTGAGTAGAGACACATGGAAAATCAAATGGATGCAACTGTGTTCAGGGAGTAGCAACTTATATGCTACTTGGCCAATGTGTTCTAGAATCTGATAAGGGCCATAGAATTTAGGACTCAATTTCTCATTAGGCCATTTTGCGAGGGACTTGAATCGATAAGGTTGGATTTTTAGAAAGACCCAATCTCCCACTTGATAGGTGACTTCTCTTTTGCATTTATTGGCTTGAAGTCTATTTTGCTCTTGGGCCCAACATAAATTGTACGTCAAGTCTTTCAAAATAGCATTTCTTTCTTCTTGTAATTGATTCACACTTTCAACTTTGGGTGGAATGATTGTCCCCTTCAAAACTAAAGGAGGATCTCGACCATATAAAGCTTTAAAAGGTGTCATTTTTTAGGAGGCATTATAATTAGTGTTAAACCAAAATTCGGTCGAAGGTAACCAAGTAGGCCAAAGCTTAGGTTGAGATCCTGTCATACACCTTAGATAAGTCTCTAAACAACAGTTTACCATTTTCGTTTGACCATCTGTTTGTGGATGGTATGTTGTGCTATATTTTAACTTTGTTCCTGCCTATTTAAACAACTCCTTCCAAAATTGGCTTAAAAATAATTGGTCCCGGTCCACATAATTGTAGAAGGAAACCCATAGAGTCTAACCACTTCTTTTACAAAAATTTGAGCCACATCTGCAGCAGTGTAAGGATGTGATAAGGCAAAGAAGTGAGCATACTTCGTGAATCTGTCTACCACCACAAAAATAGTATCCTTCTCTTTAGCTTTAGGTAGATCCTCAATGAAATCCATGAAAATGTCAAACCATACTTGAGTTGGAATCGACAGCGATTGTAATAAGCCAACAGGGACTAAAGTTTCATTTTTATTGCATTGACAAGTTTTACACTGCATCACAAAGGCCTTCGTAATATAAAACACTTGCAATTCTTTTAAGAGTGCGAAAGTAATTGTTGTGGTCTCCTAGAGAGGATTCATGCAACTCTTCAATTATGGTAGGAATTCTACCATAGTGCCTAGGCAAAACTAGTTTGCCTTGGTAGTATAACTGCCCTTTCTTCATCTCATAATGTTCATGAGCAGGAGGTTCCACCAGCAAGTCCTGTATGATGGCATTCATTTTCGCATCCTTTTGCATTTCCATATCCCAATTCCCATTTTTGGGGCTATAGAATGGAAATATTGAAAAGAACTTGTGTATACAATGCATCAGCAATCATATTCTCTTTTCTGGGTCTATATTTAATGTCAAAATCAAACCAAATAAGCTTGGAAGTTCATCTAAATTGTTCTTCTGTCAACAATTTCTGGTCATTCAAAAACTTCAAACTTTTCTGATATGTGACAACGGTAAAATGAGTACCCATCAAGTAGTGTTTCCACTTTTGCACCGCTTGAACCACTGCCATTAATTCATGTTCATAAACAAATTTCCTTTGCCCTCTCTCAGAAAAAGCTTGACTCCAAAAGGCTAAAGGTTTGCTTTCTTGTAACAAAACAATACCCACACCTTGCTAAAAGCATCTCCTCAACCACAAAAGGTTTGGAAAAATTTGGTAGCACTAAGGTAGGCAATTGTGATACAACAACCTTTAATGCTTCGAAAGCTTGTTGGGCTTCATTGGACCAATTAAACCCTTCCTTCTTTAACAATTGTGTCAAAGGCTGAACAATTTTTCCATAGCTCTGGACAAATCTTCTATAATACCCAGTTAATCCAAGGAAGCCCCTTAAAGCATTAACATCCTTTGGTCTTGGCCAATTGCACATAGCTTGAACCTTCTTAGGGTCAGCCGATACCCCATTCCTTGAAATCACGTGGCCCAAGTATTCAATTCTCTCTTAGCCAAAACTACATTTCTTCTTGATCTTAGCCAAAACTACATTTCTTCTTGATCATTTAGCAACTACAATACTTGTGATAAATGTTAAAGGTGCAGATCTAAGGAAGAATTGTAAACCAAAATACCATCGAAAAACACTAATACAAACTTTCTTAAAAAGGGCCTAAGAACTTCATTCATAAGTGATTGAAAGGTTGTTGGGGCGTTTGTCAAACCCAAAGGGCATGAATAAAATTTCATATTGGCCCTCATGTTTCCGAAAAGCTGTCTTCTCAATATCTTCTTGCTTCATACGAATCTGGTGATGTCCATATTTGAGATCCAGTTTAGAGAAGATAGTAGCTCAAGCCAAATCATCCAACAACTCATCTATGACTGGAATAAATTCATAAGGAATTTATTCGGAATGGTCAGCTTGTTAAGAGCCCTATAATCCACACAAAATCTCCACCCACCATTTTTTTTCTTCACCAAAATTATAGGACTAGATTAGGGACTAATACTAGTCCTAATAATGCCAATCTTCAACATATCACAAATCAACCGTTCAATCTCGTTCTTCTGGTTGTGCGAACATTTATAAGGCCTTAGATTTGGGATGAAAGCTCGTTTTTTTGAGATGGATAGCATGGTCTTGTTGACGGTTAGGAGGTAATTATTCTAATTCTTGTAAAATCTCCATATAGGATGCCATCACTTTTTCCACTTCTATCGGAATTGTATTGGTTCCTTCAACATTGCGATCCTAAACGATATCAACCAAGAACCCCTTATCCCCTATTTGTAACTCATTGAAGAATTTTTTAAATGAGGTTGCAGTAGTAGACAAGGCTGGATCGCCTACTACCATACGTTGTTCATCCCCTCCGCCAATGATAAGCTTCAACTTCCCAAAATCAACCTTAACCTCCCCCAAATTGGTCAACCATTCCAACCCCAGGATAATATCCGCTCCCCCTATCTCAAAAATGAAAAATTCTTATTGAATCTTCAAGCCCTGGATTTCCAAAACATAAGTGGGAGTTTCCATTGTTTGTAATCCACATCTTGTCAAACAACTTTTTGTTTTCTAATATTTCCCCAAACCTTCCATGATTTTTTTGGCGGTAAGTCCCGCCAAGGTAAACATGATTTCTCCTTCCACCAATTTCTCCCTACTTTCTAATAAACCATCTTCCTCGTTTACTCCTTCAATTACTAATAGCATGTGGAATTGTTTGTTTTGACCAACATGATTAGGACCATATTTGTCGTCACATTGGAAACATAATCCTTTTTAATCTTATCTTGCATCTCTTCATATCTGTCAACCTTCTAAAAGATTATCTACGATTACGCTTTAAGCCCTGAATTTTATCAGGATGATTGGTTGTACCTCTTCCTTTTTCTTTCCCTTTAACCGGAAGAGATAATTGAGTCCTACCTTCTCTGGAAAAGGTTCTTGTTATTCAATTAATTTTGGTACCAGAACCACACCTATTTTCCACTTATCCTTTCCCTTTAGACAAGATTTTGATTTTGTCTTCCACCATTTGAGTCTTTAACATTAATTCTGCCAAATTTAAAGGATCATATAACTTCACCTCAGTCTTAATATCATCTTGTAATTCATTTAAGAATATCCCAAATGAGATAATCTTGATCAATTCCCTTTAACAACCCTGCATATTGCACAAATTGTTCAATGTAATCCTTCACCGAATCTATTTGAGTTAACACAATGAGCACCTCAAAATTCCTCAACATGTTGGGCTGAAAACGTCGCACCACTGAAAGGATTCTCAAGTGGGATTTGGATTGTAAGACTCCCACCACTAGAACCAATTTAAGGTCTTTCCCTCCAATGCTATCATCACAGCCTACCCCAAATATGGGAATATCTAATATGGGAATATATAATTTACGCCATCGTGACCCACCATTCGACTGCCAATCTTGATCTTGTTCAACATATTTTTGCGGTATAATCACATTCTTATTTTTATTTTGCCCAGACGTTGATGCACCTGACTTCTTCTCCACCACAACCATAATAAGGCCACTGATCATATTTTCCAGGTGTTGCAAACGCTGATGTTGTTCATTCTCTGATTTATCTTTATCATGCATAGCTTCTTGAAACATACGATCTAAAGCGTTGAGTCTTGATTCCATCCTACTGCTAACCATAAGCCACCACACACCTACCACAAGACCAAGAAAGAGACTCTGAATATTAGTTGATAGAACAAGCTCTAACTACAGAAATTTTCTGCAGATTCTTGAATGACTTTATTATTAAGAAAACTATTTCTGCCAATGTGATGATAGATAACATTAACAAGATACAACAATTGAGGATTTTTTTAGAGGACCTCACTCTCCCACAACTCCTTTTTTTCTTAGAAAAAACTAGTTGCCCTCTTTCTAGCAAAACCTTGACTATTTATAATAATCAAGTACATTGAAAAACATCTACAGGGAGTTATAACTGTCACATTCTGTTATTTCTCCTTTTATACGCAATTCCAAACCTATCACACAGGAAAAAACCTTGTCTCCCAAATTGATAGGGATGCAGGAGAAGATCTCTCTATTTCACTTTTTTTCGTTTTAGTTTCTTTAAAGATAAAAAATTTACTGTATGTAAAAGTAATCGAGTAAAAATCATTCCCTACTGTTTTCCAAATGATAATGGTGTTAGATGTCTGCTAAGTTAGCTATCACTGTTATACCAGCAAACTAGGGATTGATTTCTGAACATTTTCTATGTTGGGAACAGAATAATGTGGTTAAATGCAGGTTCCCAAGCAATATAGGGGCCCAGTTTTTAATTTAGTCGTCATTTAATATCAAGTTTCTGTCCCTTACTAGAAAGTGGAATTGACATAGGGAGCAAATTTTCAAAGTTATTCTTTTTGCTTAGTTAAATGGTTTTTGGGCCGGGAAGTGCTTTAGTAATGTTTAATATTTTGTGAAGTTACTCGCTTATTAGTCAGCAACCTGATCACAGTCATAATCTGTAGTGGTCCACTTTTCAATTAAGTTGCTTGATTTGCTGAACCCTTCGCAGGTCCTAAAGGGTCACATTGCTCTTGGAAATGCTAGATTTCCAAATGGGACAAGTGGTATATTGACCAATTTATTTGTCAAATTCTGTGAATATAATTGACCTAGTTTCCATTTCGGGTACAAGAACTCAGCATTTTTTTTTTTCTATAGGGCATGCTCTTGATATTCTTGCCCGAATTCCTTTGTGGAAAGATGGTCTTGATTATCGACATGGTACTGGTCATGGAATTGGGTCCTATCTCAATGTTCATGAAGGTATGAAGGAACTTTCGTTTTGCTTATTTTAGCTCCATATTCTAGTTTTTTCCGTTTTTCCAAGTCAATACAAAAAAGAATTAAAAATGTAATATAAATTGTGCAGGACCTCACCTAATCAGTTTTAGACCACAGGCTCGAAATGTACCATTGCAATCTTTCATGACTGTTACAGATGGTTAGTATCATTATATAATAGCAGACCATGAAATTGTGATTACCCATTATTTGTCTGTTATTATTAATTTTGTTTATTATTTTTCTGAATTATTTTTAATCTATTTACTGGTCATTTCAAAGATCAAAACTGTTCGATTGAAATTGAATGCACATGTTATAAATGATGCATTGAATTTGTTTTTTCAGAACCTGGTTACTATGAGGATGGAGAGTTTGGGATAAGATTGGAGAATGTGCTTATTGTCAAGGACGCTGATACAAAATTCAATTTTGGTGATAAAGGTTACTTATCTTTTGAGCACATTACCTGGGTAAGTCCTAATGTGTGCTTGTTTGTCTTTATTTTATTTCGTTGGATGTTAATTTTGAAATATATAAAAGCCTTTGTACTTTACCCAATTATATTCAGTTCGTCAGTCAAGGCTATTAATTCAACTGAACTAATTAGTGCTTAATGCCATTTTATGATTATTGTTTTTGTTGTTATTATTATTTTAAGATGCTTGTAATAGAAATCTGTTTTCATTAGAATAGTTTATCTTGACAGTATAACCTAACTTGTTTAGATAGGTTAAGTTGTCTGCCCTATAAAACTGTTTTTTTACTTGTTAGCATCAGGTACATAGGCATAACCTTTACCTTGTACACTCTTTGCAAGTCTCATGTAATTTTCTTCCATAAATAACATAGATTACCTAAAGGATAATTAATCTCTTAAGTTCTTTTCTTATCTCACTCTAAAATTGATACCAAAGTGGGTTAAATTGGTCGCCTACTGACAATATAATATTATTTCTTATGTTATCTCATAAGTGCTTGATGTTTCTTGTCCAGGCACCGTATCAAACGAAATTGATTGACCTGAACCTTCTAAGTGCTGACGAGATAAATTGGCTGAACTCGTATCACTCCACATGTAGAAATATTCTGGCGCCATATTTGGATGAAGTTGAAAATGCTTGGCTGAAGAAAGCTACTGAACCTGTAGGTGCATGAGCTGCTCCGTTTGAAGTTGGAAAGTTTAATAACTTGCGTTGCTTCAGCGTAATTTTCACGGTCATTGTCTTCCGTATCCCTATTATACTGTAATTTAGATTTTAGATGTCATTGAGATGTCTATTCCTTCAAATTAGTACGCATCATATATCACTGCTTGCACATGTGATGGTGTATACCGTTAAATTGCCTATCCGTTCGGCATCCCTGCATCACCTCTTTTATTTTTCCTTCTATTGTAAACAAGACGGGTCTTGTACCTAAAAATGATGAATCACTAGTACAGATTAAAGTGTATGAAATTCGTTATTAGACGCCTTGTTGCCTGAGGACATGTAATCAGATTTAACCATTTTTAGGAGGAATCGTATCAGTTATGACCAAATAGGTTTTAAGGGCACATATAACATTAGTCAATACTGTCTAGGACTCTGAAGATAAATTTGCATTGAGAAATACGACTGAGCTCGTCCAAAAATTAAAGGGTTAAAATACTTTTTTGCTTGTGATATTAGTTATTTTCATTCCTGCAAAATAATTTATGGGTTTTTTTCCTTTTATTTTAAAAATGGTTAAGGACTAAAAATAAAATTAAAAATTATTTAAGGGACTAAAAATGACATTTTAATATATTATTTTAATTTATTATTTAAATAATTCACTCTTATATTTTTGTTTTTAAGTTATATTGTAAAATATGATGGAGAATCAACTTCTGAGTTGGTTTTTTCTCTCATATATGGGAGAAAAGATGACAGCTTCTATGTATGAAAAATCTATATTTGATTGATTGATTGATTTGATATAAGGTGATTTGCATGGATGAATTTGTGAGGTCCATGATGATAGGAATTGGCTGGAAAGTCACTCTAGCAGATGGTTAATCCCATATTTATTGTCAAAATCACTTAGAAATATTTCTTGATTTTGTACCACCTTGTTTGATGCTTTATAATTCCATCTACCACACTGCAAGTTCTTTATTCTAGCTTTCATTACTAGAGTTACACTGCCAATATTATTTCCTTTGAACAACCACACTACAAACCCATAAACACCTTGACATACGGTTTGAAATACATGCAGATTGAATGTCACAACATCGAAGAGGTTTCAATCAAACTTGTGTTTAAGGTTGTCAGAGCTTCACTTTTCTTACTTCTAAACCACCTTCTTAACACTTTCAAGTTTTCTCTCCATGTACCAAGAGTAGCTACTTAAATTTTGATGGTTTACAGTTTTTATTGCATTTTTATTGTCACCGCATTATGTAGGATAATTGTATAATAATTGTTTGGATGAGGAATCACAATTAAACTCATACTCGTGGGAATCGATCCGTCCTTGTCTCGAGTTTGACCGGAAAACCCGAGTTGACCGGGACGAGTTCAAGTTTTCTCGTTTTAAAAGTCGGGGACGGGGCGAGGATGGGTAATATAATTCTCACCCCGATCCCGTCCCCGTCTCGACTTTATATTTAAATTTAAAATTTAAAATATTAATATTTTAAATATATTTTCTTTTCTTTTTCTATTACATATAAGATTATTTTTTTAATATTTCACCAATTTTTATTTTTCTTCTACCCACTTTTTTTTTTAATCTTTTATATCAATTAATTTATTACAATATTCTCTCTTACCTTTTTGTTTTTTACATTTCCTTAATTTCTTCCATCAATTTATTTATTTTTTAATCTTTTCAATCAATTTATAATTTTTTTCTTTATCTTTTTTTAAATATTTTACATAAATCCTAGTAATAACTAATATTATTTTATTTATAATTTATATTTATTAGGTTTTATTATGTCATATTTTTTATCTTATTATTCTTATTTATCATATATCAAATTTTATCTTAATAAAATAATTGTATTTTAAAGGATTAAAAAAATTGATAATTTAAACTTTTATTACTTCGAACTAATTAAATAAGAATTAACTTATTAAATATTTTCTTATAAACTATATATTTCATATTTTTAAATGACAACTTAAAAATAAATTAACTTATATATATAATTAAATGTTTGAATACAACATTATAATAATAATGTTATAAGTATTCAAATATTTAAATAATAATAATAATAATGTTATAAATATTTTTTCTATATATATAAATAAAAAATAATTAAATATTTTTTTACATATATATTTTAATATAAATATAATAAATTAAAATATATATTTAATTAATAATAATTATAAATTATAAATATTTATTTATATATAAAAAATACATAATAAAATTAATTTATTATAAATGTAATTATTTTTTTAAAAATAATATAAAAAATAATATATATCGGGGACGGAGCGGAGGTGAGAACGGGAAACTCAAATCCTAATAAGGACGAAAATAGTTAAAAAAACCCAATAAGAATGAAAATAGTTAAAAAAATAAGATCCCTAGGTAAAACTTGACCCGCTCCGCCCATGCCATGCCTAGTTGGGACCGTTGCCATGCCTAGTTTAGATTGGCCATTTGATGTACATTTGTTATTGTCTAAGCTAGCCGTGGAGATTTCTTATTTCTTCCAACAATCATTGATTCGAATTGTAAATAATTCATGCATAATAAATCATTTATTCGCATACATATAATTAATTATATGACAGAAATAATTATTGAGTTGTACTTCTGAATAATCGCATCTTCTAAAAAAAATTATATTTATTAAATAATAATTTAATTTAATACTTGCATAAGATATTTATGTATTAATGTTTTATCATAATCAAAAAAATGATATTAAAACTAACGGAATAATTAAATTTAAATAAAAAAATAAAAAAAATAATATAACGAAATTTATACAAATGAAATATAAATTAATTATATAAGAAAATAAAATTTTAAAGACATCATATTTATAATTTTGTTTACTTATAAATGATCAGTTTTTTTAAATGTAAGATATTTTGTTAGATAATTTTTATGAAATTAATATTAAAATATTTATTGGATGAAATCAATCAATATAAAATAATATAATATTATTTTTAAGATAAAATTTAAGTTATATTTAAAAATTTTCTTATTTTTATATAACTTTATATTTAATAAAAGTTTTTTACTCAACTTAAATTTCGATAATTATATATATATATATAAATTATAAGATGCAATTTGTTATGCATGACATCCCGGGCTTGCTCGAATTTTTTTTTTAAATGTGGTTATATGTTTTTTATATAAGATGTATTTAATATATTTAAAACAAAGTTAATATGATTTAATATATTTTTTTAATATGTTTGTAATATTTTTCTAATAATTTTTAATATATTTTAGACTTAAGAGATTAGGATTTTTTTAAAATAATATTTAAATATGTACTTAGAGTTTTAATTGTTTTAAAAAAATTCGATATATTATGAGGGTTTAATATATCTCTGCAGGCGTTAGGATTTAACAGTTTTTTATATTTTATACGATTTATTTTTGTTTTGTTTTAGGAGGTTAGAAATTTTTTAAATATGTATTAAGAGTTTTAATTTTTTTTTAATGCGTGATTTTTTAATTATGTAATTTTTATTTTATTTTAAATTTATGTGAAAAAAATTATGCATGAGCTATGATTAATTCTGAAAATAATTTAAAATTCATTTTTAAATAATTTTAATAATATTTAATTTTTTAATTATTTATTAATTTTTTTAAAAATAATTAATTCATATTTAATATTTTAAATTTTTAATCATATTTATTCTTATTAAATATTAAATAATTGTATTTTAATAATTCAATAAATTATAATTTTTTCACTCAATTTTATTATTTTTTCTATTTTCTAATTTAATATAAATAAATTTATTTTTCACTTTTTTTCTTTTCCATTATCCCCATCGACCTCTAATTCAACAAAACATTAAATTATGCAGCTTTGAGGAATAATTTTCAATTTTTCTTTCACATCACATTATTACACTGCTACCACTTTGTCTTAATCAATAAAGTTTCTTAAATTTAAATTTTAATAACAATATTTATAAAAATAAGATTGTTTAAAAAAATAAAAAAGAAAGAAATAAAAAATTATTTCACAGTCAATTTTTTACTTAAATATTTTCTATCATTTATCGATTTTTACTTTTATTTTTTATTTTTCATTTTTCATTTTTTTTATGATCTAAAAAATTAACTAATTATTTATTCTGTTATTATTATTATTTTATATTTTAAATTTTCAGAAAAAAATTTAAATATTTATTCATATCCAAAATTTAAAAAATTATTGTTTTTTCTATAAATAATTGTTTAAAAATATATATATATATATATATATATATATATATATATAAAATAGTAGTTATTTATAAATTAATTTTATATTTTTATTATGATTCAGGTCTTTCATAGTAGGTAAAACATATTTAAGAATCTTTTAGGTATAAACAAAAAACAAATACATTGTTATAAATAATTTATAATTTATAATTTTTATTATTATTTCTTTCTATGTAATTTATTTGTTTTTGACAGACAATATTTTTGTAATATTAAAATAAATATGTGATTTTTTATATTTAATTATAATAATTAAATTATAAATCAAAATTTTTAAATTTTTCATATATGAAATATAATAAAAAAATTATAAAAATATAAATATTTATACAAATTATTATTAAAATAAAATTTATAAAAAATTAATATAAATTATTTATAAATAAAATAAGTATACTTAAAGTAAAAGTGTGTTATTTATAAATAATACTTGTGGTGGATATGCTGTGACTCCTGGTTTGAAGTTTAATACACTGAACCAGTTTTAATATGTTAAATAAATTGAACTACTGAATTTTGAAAACTCCATTAGTGTAATTTAATGATAAAATCTAATTTATTTGGTCACATAATCAATAAAAACACAATTAACCAAACAATTTATAATTTTATTTTTCTTTTATTTCTCTTAAATTGAGTAATTTTTATTTACATTTTTCTTATTGCATCTTTTTTTTCTAAACACATCCTATTTCTTCTTATGG